ACACACACTCTGCTTTGGCCATGGTGTGTCTTCACAGCAAAAGAAAAATTACCAAGGGAGTCCTGTGCAAATTATTAGTATTCAGAAGTCACTGGGCTGGTGGGTGGGATGGCTCACAGGGTAAAGATGACTACTGTGAAAACCTGATGACCTGAACTTGATCCTAAGAACCCACTGCAGAAGGAAAGAACTGACTTCTAAAATTGTCCTCTGACTTCACATGCACACACACTGTGGTGTGTATGCACCCACACAAACAGTAATAAATAAAATAATTTTAATATATTTTTAAAAGGTAACCAATTTTTATCAATTTTTGGGGGGTAACTCAACAAGCAACATCTCCAAAACTGTATCTACATAAAGTTATTAGAATGGTATCTGTCCATTTTGGTGACATGCAGATTATAAGTAACAACTCATCAGAGTATGCTAGTGCCAATTCAACATAGCAATTAAGACATCTATATAATTATTCTTTGAGATCCTGTCTAATTAAATACTCACTGGCCAATAAAACGAGCCTTCCAACAGATGTTTTAGCAGGACTTGAGGACTTCTTCAAGGAGCACAAGTCAGAAAACCTACTCTAGAAAATACAGACATATTTCATTTTGTTTAATTTAAATGAAGTCTATAAATTTTTTTGAGGCTGTCTTTACTGGAATCTGTATAAAATAACTCATGATTCTAATAGAAATAGAAAAATTATTCTGATCTTGAAATAATCCCTTAGGTAGGCTGGGCAGAGCTAAGCATTCTGGACTTTGTGGTCAAGTGCTGTGTGTCTGGATTTAGTGTGAAAACAGTTATTACAACAAAATGGAAGGAAAGTCTCCTTGTCAAGCTAGTTCTTAGGATGTCAAACAACAAAACAGCTTCCACCTTGGCAACCAAAGGGTAGCATTAAAGACGTTCATAAGGAAGATGTGGGCGTGTGATGTGCCAAAGAAAACACTAACATAGGAGAGGCTGAAGACAGGTAAGACTTTCTGGTTTTGTCTTTAAACAAACCAATGTAAACACAAAGTTCAAAAGTTGCATTTTAGGTATGATCATTTAATACACTCAAATTATTACACCGGAAGTAGTTTCTTCTTTATTATAATGGTTTAGTTTTACTTAAGACAGCTATCTGATTTTTTTTAACCCTTTAAAAATGTGGGAGAGCCAGTGAGCTGGCTCAGTGAGTAAAGTATTTGCTATAGACAACCTGACAAAAGTATTTGCCTGACAACCAGAGTTCAATCCCCAGATCCCAAGATAGAAGGAGAGAACAGACTCCTCCACATGTGCACTATGTCATATATGCAGCACTCTGCATATGTGTGTACACACACACACACACACACACACACATGCTGAATTATTTAAAATGTGAGAGAGGTATACAGTTGTTAATTTATTAGTGCCATATCATTCTCCTGAGGAAAAATGAATTTATTAGAATACCTACCAGACTTTGTAATTTAAATTAAAATAAAATTTTGTTGAAAAAATTTTAAAAAGAAAACAGGCCTGGTGAAATGGTTCAGGAGCTCAGAGCACTTGCTGCTTTATCAGAGTTTGCATTCCAGCATCCCTATCAGGCGGATGTGGAGTTCAACCTGTTACTCCAGCCCCAAAGGGCCCGATACTGTTTCTAACTTCCTTTGGTGTACACACACACACACACACACACACACACACACACACACACACACACACACACAAAGAACATGCTGGCAAAGATACAGACAAAAGGAACCTTTACACATTGCTGGTGGGTAAACTAGTAGAGTCACTGTTAAAATCAGCACACAGGTTTCTTAAAAAGCTAAAAATAGATCTCCCATATGACCCAGCTGTTCTACCCTAGGGATTTACCTAAAGAACCCATATCAACACATCACAGAAATAATTCTACATCAATGCTTATTACAGCACTATTCAAAACATGTAAGTTATAGAACCAACCTTGGGTAAAGAAAATGTGCTATGCATAAATTGGTTATCCAGTATCAAATGGTTAGCCCTAAAAACATATATACAAGTTACATTATATAGACTAAGTTATATTTATGAATATAGATGTGTGTATATATGTATATGTGTGTGTGAATGTAACAACATTAATAAAAAAAGAAGACTATTTATTTCAAAAAGAACAAGGAGGCATATGTGGAGTTTGGAGGGAGGAAATGGAAGGGAAAATGATCTAATTATATTACGACATCAAAAATAAAAAGTTATACTTGTAACATCTACAAAAAAGAAAGTGTGTATACACAATGGAATTGTTTTTCAGCATAAAGAATAATGAAGTCATACCCTTTATAGCAAAAAGGATGCAACTAGAGAAAATGAATTAAGTCAATATCAGACAGACAAATATTTTCCTCTCTTTGGTTCCTAAACTTTACATTGATACATAAAATCATGTATGCAGTGACATGGAGTAAAACTGTCTAGGGAATTAATGGGAGGGAGACTGATGAGAAATTATAGGACAGGAAGGAATGAGGGGAGAAATATGTTCAATATGTATATAACACGGTACTATAGACAAGGCACATGCACAGCGAAAACTAAAAAGCAAGAGGGAATAAAAGGCAGAAGGAACTTAAACACAGATCTGTGCAATGTAGTAACTGTTCCTAAGCATTTGCACTGCAGGCACGTCAAACCACAGGTTTGGCCAGGTGTGGTGGCACAGTTTGAATTCTAGCACTCAGGAAGCAGAGGCCGGGAGATCTCTGGAGTTCAAGGCCAGCCTGATCTGTATATTGATTTTCAGGACTGCCGGGGCTATATACAGAAAGAAATCCTATTTCACACAAAACAAAACAAACAAGTAAACAAACAAATCACAGGTTTCACAGCACACAGGATCAATTCTAATTCTTACCGTGTCAGAAATGCTGTACTTTAGGGAACGAGAAGCAGGCTGGCCAGGTCTCAGATGGACCTTTCTCAGGGAGTTCTAGGCTAGCTTAGCCTAGAACTCAGTTCCAGGACAGCCAGGACCGTTACACAGAGAAACTCTCTCAAACTCCTCCCCCACAAAAAAAGAAAGAAAGGTGTGCCTATGGCCTGAAAAAAGATGCATGCATGCTAAATTATAGAAGAAAGTCAAAACTATAGTTTTCAAACATGTGTCCCCATTCTAAACACACAAAAAAGGTTTTCTAAAACATTTTAGCTACTCCTCACATGTACGAATCATTTAAGTAACTGGAAGGTAATAATATCAAGCATTCATTTAAAGATGATACTGAATTTCAATAGAACTAGAGAAAAATCCCACAGTCATATATAAATCTTTTAATATCAGCTGGTAAGTACTTAGGGCTTCAAAGTATAAAATCATCTAAAAATCATGCCAAACCCAATTCACACATAATGCTTTAAATTAAAAAAAAAAGTCCCTGAGCCACGCACATTGGGTATATCTTTATTCCCAGCATTCAGGAAGCAGAGACAAGGTACATCTCTGTGAATTCCAGGCAACCTGGTCTACATAGCAAGTTCCAGGCCAGCCAGGGCTACATAGCGAGATACTGAATTTGATATCATTATGTCTTCAAAGTATGTAGCAAAGAAGAATCAGATATGTTGCATACACCTCAAATAACATTTCATTCTTTTAGTCATGAGCACTCACAACAACAGTTGAATTAGAGAAAGTTACTAATATCTGACTCTTTGAAACTGCAAAGAATGAGCCAGGCAGTGGTGGCGCACACCTTTAATCCCAGCACTCAGGAGGCAGAGGCAGGCAGATCTCTGTTTCAGGTCAGCAAGGTCTACAGATCGAGTTCCAAGAAAGCCAGGGTTACACAGAAAAACCCTTCTCGAAAAGCAATGCAAAGCAAAACAAACAAAAGAAACTGCAAAGAATGGTAATTTCATATGGTTCAAAAAATTATGTATTTTCTTAGTTGTTAGGATGCAAGAAAGAAAACAAGCTTCCTGCTCTTCATAGATCTTAACAAACTTAGACTGTGTGTTTTCAGGACAGAGGTGGTCATAAACAATCAAATACACATAAGGTATTACATAGTTCAGAGAATAACACACAAAGTTAAGGGAACAGAGAATATATGACAATGGCTGTATCACACTGGTGGTCAGGGAAGATCTCAGTGCTAAGGTTGGAGTGGTATTCTACAAGAGAGAGTTCTCAGCTTGTCCTATAATGGCAAAATCTGGTTCTCAACCTAAGCTGGAATAACCACCACAGCCCCAACTAAACTTGTAACCAATCTATACCTAAGTACATGCCATCAGAATTCTCCTCATTCCACATGCAACCCAAGTTTACACACACATTTTGTTATAGTTTAGATCTGAAATGATCTCCAAAGGTGCACGTAAAGTTTTGGTCCCTGGCTTGTGACTGCTGAGATGGTAGACCCTTCATGAAGTAAGGCTTACGGAATAGGAAGCTGGATTACTGAGGGCTCACCCTTGAAGGAACTTCGTAGGGCCTCTACAACATCCTGTTTTGCTTCTTCATTTAAAATGTACTTTATTTCATCATATGAATGTTCTGTTTGAATTTATGTATGTGTACCATATGCATGCCTGGTGCCCAGGAGGCCAGAAGAGGGCACTGGATCCCCTGGGCCTGGAGTTACAATGGCTGTGGGCCACCACGTGGGAGCTGGGAAGCAAAGCTGCGTCCTGGGCAGGAACAACAAGTGCTCCTAGCCATTAAGCCATCTCTCCAGCTCCCGATTTGCTTCTTGACTGCTGTGAGGGAAGCTGCTGCTTCTGCCAATGCTCCCGCCATGGTGCTGCCTTGTCAGGGGCCCAAGAGCACTGGGACAACTGATCAAGGGCTGAAATTCCCCAAACTGTAGACCAAAAATAGACCTTTCTTTCATATGAACCGACTACCTTAGGTATTTTGTCAATGATAGAAAAGCAACTCTCACACTTCAACTTTTTTAATCCTTTTCAATCCAAGAAAGGTTTCCATGTAAGACCACACATAAAGACAAGTAACTTATTCTTACATCTTTTGAAGAACCTGGGACATCACAACCCCGTTCGTTAAATCTTCCACGGTCTGGCATGGTGTATCCACATTAAAGGTCTGGATCTGAAGAAAAAAAAAGATTCAATGGTTAACTATATTAAGATTTCTTAGGGGTGTGGGTGCGTACGTGCATACGTGTGTGTGTGTGTGTGTGTGTGTGTGTGTGTGTGTGTGTGTGTGTGTGTGTTATTATCTCATCTCGGAGGTTGAAATAAAAATTTTAATAATCATAAATTTCTTCCCACATGTGCAAAAGAGAAATTATGGTAGATATTGGCTGACTTTTCATCATACTACTCACAGATGACAGTCTAAGAAGATGATGGTGCTGGGCGGTGGTGGTGCACACCTTTAATCCCAGCACTCGGGGGGAGGCAGAACCAGGCAGATCTCTGTGAGTTCGAGGCCAGCCTGGGCTACAGAGTGAGATCCAGGAAAGGTGCAAAGCTACACAGAGAAACCCTGTCTCGAAAAACAAACAAACAAAGAAGATGATGGTAACTTCAGCCCCTCTAACAGTGATGACTGACTCAAGAATAATAAGGGCAAAAACCAGTACGGACCAAAGAGATACTTGGTGGAGAGCAGAGTCAATTTCTTATTAATGTGAACTTTTGTGCTGTATCAATTACTGTAGCAATCGTAACTACTTCAGGGAATAATTTCTTTAAATTTTTGTTTATTATTATTATTATGTATGTGCATGTGTGAGTGCAGGTGTGTGTGCCACAGTATACATGTGGCGGTCAGAAGACAACTTGTGGGAGCTGGTTCTTTCCTTCTACCAGGTGGTCCAAGGGATTGAATGCAGATCATGAGGCTTGGTGACAGACACCTTTATCTGAGATTTCTCGTACTCAAAGGCAAATGTCTTTTTATATGGATATAGAATTCATATTTATCATCATTAGGTTGGATACTCAATTCATTTCAATTTCAAATATATACTGAATTACAACTAACTTTGTATTGGTTAAGAGAAATTTAAGAAATGAACCCAAGAAGGGTCTAAGGGCATGCACCTGTAATTCCAGGACTTGGAAAGTGGAGGCAGAAATTCAGGGGTTCAAGGCCACCTGAGACCAGAAAGGAAGTACAGCCAACAGTTATCAGCCAACTGATAACCAGCAGTCCAAGCCGGATTTAAAAGGAAATAAATCACTGAGGATAACCGATGAAGGGCGTCCTGATACAGGTCTTTTAATTTGGTGGAAGTATTGTGGGATATATGGACAAAGATTTCCATTGAGAAGATATGTGGCAGGAATGAAAAGGAGCCTGGTATAGACAGATGGAAATCATAGGAAGAAATGGAACAGAGAGGAGTATAAAACACGTGAAAGAACTAAAAGAAGTATCATTAGGCAAGACTCAATAAGTCACATCTGGAATTTATCTTAAGAGTAATGGTAGTTTGTAAGTAAAGGATTTCAAGCAAGAAAGTGATCTGAACTGTACAAACCAAACTGGATGCAATATGAAGGAAATACTGGAAGGAAAGAAGCAGACAAGCCTGCTGTGGCAGTCTGTAACACTGAGGAGGCTAAACCAGATCGCAACAATGGAAATACTGAGATAACACTCAGGTGACCATCTTTCTGTTTTATTTATTGGATTAGGAAAAAATTGCCAGGTTAAATGTATATTCATTTTTAAGTTTTTTAAAAATACCTATTGCCAAATAAACCGTGAAACAATAAAATGCTACTAAAAATGGGTGAATATCTGTTTCTCTGTCCCATACTATCCATAAAAGTCGGGGTCTCATGTAGCCCAGGCTGCCCTCCAACTCATTATATATCAGAGGTCATGGTGACCTTGATTCTCCTGCCTCCACTCCCAAGTGCTGAGAGAAGTTATAGTTATAACTTCCCGGTTTATATGGGGCAGGAGTCTTTCAGGTAATGATGATTATGGTAGCAGAAGCTAAGGGATTTATGTCACAGGTTCTTATAGAAAGTAGTTTTTAGTCAGACAAGAATTTGGGAGATAAGAAGATCCTAACTTAAATACATACAGAGTCTTGACTTTTTTTAAAAAAGTTAGCAAATAAGCCAGGCATGGTAGCATACACTTTTAGTTCCAGTTACTGAGGAGACTGAGGGAAGAGGATCGATTTTAGTTCAATGCCAGCCCCGAAATATAGTGAGACTCCATGGGGGGATGGGGTGGGGGACCAGAAAATGAATAAAAGGCACAAATGAAACAAGTGAAGATCATCTCAGTCTGAGTTTAAACTTTATTCTATCTGCAACTGTCTCCACACTGGTAAGTTTAAAAAAAAAAAAAAAACCACCCGTTTTCATTTTATAGGTACTAACTTAATGGCCCATTTAAAAGCTATCTCTTTTTATGAGTTTATACATGAAAAAAAAAAAAGACGAAACCGCGACAATCACATATTACATCTTAATCACTTGGTACACATCTCAAAATAAGGGGCTTACCAATTAAGCTCAGTGAACACTGCCTGGAATGTAATGAATCAATTCTAATCCTTAGTTTTGCTACTAATTTATCACATAACCTGGGATATTTTACCTCATCTCTTTTAATATCAGCTTTTTCCATATTAAAATTGGGGGTATTAATATTAGCAGTTTCCAAACCTGGGTGTGCATGATAGTCATCTGGAAAGTTTTCATTTTGGAAACATTTCTTAGATCCACAAAATGAATCATAATCCCTGTACGATGTGTTTAGGATGCTACAATCCTCCACCTCACCCTCGTGTGTGGTGCATGTTGCTGGAGGATTGAACCCAGAGCCTTGCACATGCTAGGTAAACACTCCACTACTGAGCTATTATCCTACCTCTTTTAAAATTCTGAGCTTTCTTTCTTTCTTTTAATGTGTAGGAGTGTTTTGCACACATGTAAGTCTATGCACTATGCATGCAGTGCCTTCAGAGGCCATCCTATCTCCTAGAACTGGAGTTACAGACAGCTGTAAACTGCCATGTAGGTGCTAGAAATTGAACTGGGTCCTCTGGAAGAACAGCCAGTACTCTTAACTGCTGAGCCATCTCTTTTGCCCTCTTTTAAGTTTCCAAAACAGAATCTTGCTAATAGCCTTGAACTCACTCTGTAGTTTCTACAAACTTTCAACCTGCAATCCTCCTGCCTCAGCCTCCTGAGTAGCTGAGATTATAGATCTGTGCAACCAAGTTAATCTCTGTTTATCTATTTTAATAAATGAATCAAATAATGCTTATGTACCGGGGCAGTAGTTTTAGCATCTGGAAACCTTTAAAGTAGTACGAAGATTAAGGAATCAAGCTCTTATCCCTCCTACCTCAAGCTGGGAATAGAACTCAAGTCTTGTCATGCAAGGCAAGTGTTCTAGTATTGAGTTACATTCCTACTCAGGGTTACAAAATTGCTCCTGGTCAGTCAGAAGAAACAACTCAATAAATCAAATATTTTTCTTCTTCTTCTTCTTCTTTTTTTCCTGAGACAGAGTTCATGCATCTGAGGCTGGCCTAGAACTCACTATGGAAGACAAGGGTGACCGTAAACTCCTCAATCCTCCTGCCTCCACCTCCTGATTGAGAGAATTAGAGGTGGACTGCTGAGATTATGGGTGTGCACCACCACATCTGGTTACACAGGCTTTGTGCAAGTACTCTACAAACGGGCTTCGAGCTCAGCCCAAAGGAAGGAATTTTAAAGAGTAATCTAACACAGTATGTGCCCCCACCCTGGGACTCACAGCTAAATTTTCACTTTGATTTTTAAGATGGAGCTTCCAAACAACTATTTTCTGTTTTGGCCCTTCAGGTGCATAGCTACTTAGAAGAGTTTAACAATGTTCACCTCTGCTTTCAGTACTGACAGATCTCAATTCAGAAATAAACTTATCATCCTATGAGGTCTGAGTTGTGACATTTCGGGATAGTTATACAGTAAAACAGAAAGATAATTGCACTTAACTGTGGTAAAGCACAAATTCTACCTGAAGGGTCACAACCTTTCTTGTAATTTCAAGAAGCTCTGAGAACACATTCCAACCCCTCCCCTCGCCCACAAAAGCATCAGAAAAGCATGAGATCACGTGGAATCAGCAACTTTAGGGCTGTGGTTCTCCACCAGGGGTGATGTTCCGCTCCCTAGGAGCGTCTGGAATAGCAAGGTAAGTACTATTATTTTGTAAACAGCAATGCTTCTATTAAATACCCTAAAATACACACAACAGTGCCCCTAACAATTACTCAGTCCAAAAATATCAAACAGCAGTAAACTTAAAACCTGCTCTAGAACAAGTGTTCTCAAATGTCATCTTGAGTATTAACTACCCATCACCTGGGAAAATGATAGAACTGCAACTCTCAGTCAGCTCCAATCCCAGACCTAGAAACTCTAGCCCCAGGGCCTAGTAAACTGGTTTGATAAAGGTTCCAGGTGATGCTCATCAATGATAATGGATGAGAACCATTGCAGGAGCCAGAAACCACCATACTACTCAGACATTTTCCCTCAAGGGCTTTAAACCTTTGTACATCAGAGATTTCTTTATTCTCTCATCAAAGGATCAAATTTGTTGGTAAGGATGGAGTTAGGCAAAGGAAGGAAAACAGAATGGGAGAGATTCTAAACGTTAGTTGCATTTCATAGGTTCCCAAATAAGTAAGGTAGTATGAAAACAAGGACACACAAAGATTGTGGCGTTTCACAGAAGTGAACCAAAACTATGACTCTTTCCCCATTAGTCTCATGTCATTATCTGGCAGCATTCTAGATTCTCTTTAAATATGTTTTTAGACTAAGTATAAGTTCTGCCTGAATGTATGTGCACCACATGCATGCCTGGTGCCTGTGGAGGTCAGAAGAGGTCATTGGATCCCCTGAACTGGGGTGGTGGATGGTTATGAACCATGTGGGTTCTAGGAACCAAATCAGGGTCCTCTGTGAGGGCAACACATGCTCTTAACTGTGGAGCTATCCCTCCAGCCCCTCTAGAGTCTTGTGCTCCAGTTTCTTGGGTAACTGGATGGAATTATATAACTCAGTTGTAGAGTACAAGCACAAGGTTTAATCCTCAGCACCATAAAACCAACAAATTCATCAAGTACCTAAGACCTGAGAGAATGCAATCTTTTCATCACGATTCATGCAGAGTTTAAGAAGCTGGGCTTGGGCAGTGCCAGATTTGGTTACCCCTCTTTAAGCTGGTAGTCATAGGGGATCCTATGGATCCATAAAACAATACAGGATATTGTCACTGCTCTTAGTTACCCACCAGAACTTGGAAGTAAGACCCTATTGCTACTACATTCTTGAGCCACAGGACATGGAGAAATCAAACTGGTATTGACCTTGAAGCTTAATCCCTATGGGCTAGCTTTCATAGTGCTGCATGGTGCTATGCAGGCTGCTGGGAGAGAAAAATAATCAACGTCTTACCCAGCTGTGAACCCTGAAAGTTACAACGACAAGCGGGTTGATAAAAATATGCCCACTGGTGCAATCATGGCATCAGGGTTATGGGAGTAAGCAATTGCTTTCTGGTTGGATATAAGGCCCACTTCACAGACCAGAATTCATGCTTTATCTTGTTAACTGGGCCAAGAACATGTGGCTGGGTAGGTCATAGACTCCAGGAGAGAACTTACTATTATTTTGCCAAATGGACAAGGTATCAAACTACCCTCTGAACACTTGTCTTTATACCCACTGAATAGTCAGCTCCCAACCCTCATCAGAGAAGCTTATTTCTGTAGTAGAGGGCAATTAATATGGAGACTCACACACAACTGATCAGAGTACAGAGAATAAGAAACTGTCCAGTGCTCAATTCTAAATGATGGTTGTTAAAAAAAAAAAAAAACCCAACAGACTATTGAAATGGCTCAGTGGGTGAGGGTGCTTACCACAGCAGGCTGGCGACTTGCAACCTGAGTTTGTTGCTTGGAAAACCATGGAAGGGCACCAACTCCAAAAAGCTGACTCTTGACCTCCACATGCATGTGGTGGCAACTATGCCTATATGTGCGCATCACAATCACACACATGACAATACCTTCTTTTTTTTTTTTTTTTTTTGGTTTTTCGAGACAGGGTTTCTCTGTGTAGCTTTGCGCCTTTCATGGAACTCACTTGGTAGCCCAGGCTGGCCTCGAACTCACAGAGATCCGCCTGGCTCTGCCTCCCGAGTGCTGGGATTAAAGGCGTGCGCCACCACCGCCCGGCTACAATACCTTCTTAAAAGAGACTGACAGATATAACAGCACAGGGTAAGTTTTAAGCACACTCTGCTGAATTTGCTTGCTATATACCCACTGAGTATAAAACATTTTCCATCTTTTTCGTGCCGGCCAGTGGTGGTGCACACCTTTAATCTCAGCCCTCAAGAGGCAGAGGCAGGCAGATCTTTGTGAGTTCAAGGCCAGCCTCATCTACAAAGCAAGTTCTAGGACAGTCAGGGCTACAAAGAGAAACCTCGTCTCAAACAAACAAACAAAAAACAAACATTTCCCATCTTTTCAAAAGTCCTCCTGGTTTAAATAATAGTCTGAAAGTTGACTGAGGCTTAGCTACATTCTACAACCTATCACCATCCTATGTGATGCACAGCAGCGAAGCTTATCTTCTTGCTTGAAGTCAGAACTTACAGAGTATGTTAACTATGCATCATTTCAAACAACCTGAAATTACAGGAATGATCTAATACAAAACCAAACCATAGAGCTCTGCATTGTAGAAAGTTTATGTTTCAAAGGACGATACCCGGATTATAAAAAAAACTTCAAGCTGGGTGTAGTGATACAAGTTTATAATCCTAGGACCCAGGAAGCTGAGGCAGGAAGATGCTACAAATTCAAGATCACAGTTTGAGGTCAAAATGGGCTACGCAGCAAGACCCTACCGCAAACGCACGCACATCTTTGGATTCTACCTTTATTACATTTATTACAACCAGCCTAAGTTAACAGTTCTCGAACTTCTCAACAGTGGCCCTGCACAAAACAGTGATGGCTAGCTTCCAGGGAACGGATCCTCTAACCCAAGACACACTGCTCAACAGAATTTCTTTTGATATTTGCATTTTACCTTTAAAGTGAATAAAAGTAGGGTGTGTGTGTGTGTGTGTGTGTGTGTGTGTGTGTGTGTGTGTGTGTGGAGAGCTTAGTGGCAGAGCCTTCACTTAGCACGCAGGAGGTCCAATCACCACCATCTCCCCCAGACAAAATTAAGCAGACAAAATTAACACTGGTCATAGTAACCTCTGTAAATATATCTGTGTTCTTCTAAAAAGGACGGTAAACAATTTTTAGCCATAAGTAAAACGAATGTTCTCAGGTGGATACTTGGTTTATCCCATGGCTCTGCATATGCCTGTACCCACTTCCAATCAGCCTGCTAAAAACAGAAACAAACACGGATTAACTGCCCAGCTAATGAAAAGGGCTGCTTAAGCCATGACTATTGACATTAAAACCCAACGTATTTACTTTAAAATTCGATAACCTTAACTCTTATCAATTCCAAATTAGAATCTCACGTTGCTTTAAAGAAAAAAAAAAAAGTGTTTCAGTTCCATTACTAATTCCCTAAATCCTCCCAGCTTAAATTTTTTTTTTTATCCTTGATTCCTTTATAAGTACCATCACATCGTTTACTTTATAACAGCCAAAATGCATCTCGCATTTCAAATGTTCTGCCTCTGGGTGATTCTTCATGTTTTGTCTGTACGATTTTCCAATGGGCAGGGCTTCATCCCTCAAGGGGCTACGCTCCATCCTGGCTGAACGCTACAACAAAGGCGAGCAGCGTCGTAACCAGGGGTCCCGAGTGCCTCTCCCGGGCGCCCAGGCAGAACCGACGCTTTGGATCACGGGGAGCTGGGGAGCGAAGCGCCAGCGCCCCATCACTGCACAGAGTCCTAATTACAGTGTCGCCTGCACCCCATCATTAGCCCCCACCGGGCAGGTTTCCTCTCGGACAGCAGCCAACAGCTCAGGCCGGACAAGTTCCTCCTGGACCCTGGGCCCAGCCTGCCTGAGCCCGGCCGCTCCCTGCTGACCCTGACCCGGCCCGCGGGTGTAGACGCGGCCCGCACCGGCTCCACAGCTCCGCCCGTCGCAAGCCCCGGATGTGACGGCAGGTCGCCCGGGGTGCTCGCCCCTCGGGACGAGCCCCGGTGTCCGGGAAAGGTTGGCGGAGTTTTCCCACCGGCCCGCCGCCCCAACCACGTACCCAAGTGAGCAGGCTCTCGCACAGCTCCACCCGCTCCACAGACTCCACGTTAAACATCTTCCTTGAGGTGGCCGCAGCGCCTCCCCCGACCAACCAGAAGCCGCGGCCGGCCGTTCAGCTCGGGGTCGAGTCCGAAGGGTCGGGCAGCCGACCAGCGTCTGGCGGACCTTCTCTTCCGTCCGGCCGCTCCCGAGGCGCGGACGCTGGCAGGAGCTCCGCACTGTCACCAGCCCCTCCCTCCCTGGCTCGGGGCCGCGCGCCCTCCGTGCGCGCACCCGGCGCCGCCCGCCCACGCCCTCCTGCGCGGGCGCAGCCCCGCGCGAGCCGAAGCCCAGGCGCCACTGCGCACGCTCGCGCTCGGCCCGCCCCGCCCCTGGGGGCGCGCTCCCGACGCCTGTCCACCGCGCGTCGGGGGCGCGCGCCCTAGCCCGGCCCTGCTGCTGCGGCGGCGGCGGCGGCTGGTGTGTGTCTCTCCAGACGTCTGTCTGGCTCTCCCTGAAGCCCCGCACTGCGCGTGCGCCGACGCCGGCGCTGTCGCTTCAAGAAGCGGCTCGGTGGTTGCCCGAGAGGAGTAAGCTAGGCAGTCCCCGGAAATGAACTCTGTTCCGTCCCGAGGACTGGCACGGTAGTTCCTCCGCCGCCGCCGCCGCCGCCGAGAGGTACGCGCGCCCCCCTCTCCCCGGCCGCGAGCGTGTGCCAGGCCACGCCCCCGCATAGGCCCGCCTGGGGGCGGGGGTGGGGGGTGGGGGCGCGCACGGCGGGGCTCGGCGCCGCGTGGGGCCGGCGGGGCCGCGCTCCTCCGCGCGAGGGTGGGCTCCGCGCGCCGCCTTCCCCCGGAAGCCTGCGCTCCAGCCCGGGATCGCCCGAGCCGGCCCCGAGGCACAGGGCGAAGGTGGAGCGGCTGACGTGGGCGCGTCTCGGTGGCCGTGGGCGGGTTCGGCCCGGCCGAGGAGAGCCAGCCGTTCCTCCTTTGGAGCCCCCTTTCCCACAAAACTTTCCTTGAAGTGAGGGAGGGTGGACGCCAGTTCCCCAGTGCGTAAGGACCCCCGGACTGTCCCTAAGGCCTGTTTCTCGTCGTGTTGGGAATTGGCTCCACTGAGGTGCATCCTTGTCCAGCTTTCGTTTTTTTTTTTTTGTTTTTTTTTTAGACAGGCGTTGTAGGGTTTCATAGACGTTTTTAATGTGGCGTGCAGAACAGTGCCTAGGACGTACATGTTTGAGGGATATTAATAAAATGAATTGCCAGGTTCTCGAGAGTTCCTCCGCCCATACCATTTCTAGTCTGATTTTTGTGACAGGCACTTTATTGCTTTCCCTTCTAGCTTTCCCAGATGAGCATGCATGTAGTAAGAGTTTTCCTTTGTCGGAGCTTGAACTTTTATGAATGGACCCATGCTGTGGGTTTTGACTTTTAAATGATAGTAAATTATCTGCAAATTCCCATGATTGTCTAGTATTCCATTGTGTGACGACAGCCTTATATCCTTATATCCTGTTGATGTGCACTTCATTCCGGTTTAGGGCGTCTCAGAACAATGCTCTAATAAACATTCTTCTACCTGGACCTTGATGCAAAGGTATTGGCGTTTTCAAGACACCAAGACACAAGATACATGCTTTGGAGTCGTAGGAGAATTGTGGATTCAAAAGGTATGGCCAACTACCAGGTCATGTAAATTTTGATTTGGAGTGCTTCAGAAGTTAGCTTCCCAGGACACACCTTCACTTTGTTCTGCAGTTCCTGGAGCCTCCCCCTTCCCCATTAGAAGTTGGTTTTCTCACTGAGCGCTTAGAACTACCGAACAGCATTGAGTTTTTTCATGGTAACTTTTAGCGACTACTGCTTAATGATCACATGTAATCGATCATTTTATAGATGGGGAAAATCTTGGGCTGAGGATGTAGTGCTAGTTCATTACCCTAGCAAACATCAGTGCTTGAGTTCAGTCCTTGGTACCAAAAACAAACAAACAAACAAACAAATAAATAATAAATCTTAGCTGAAGCCTTCTCAAAGGGTTTTCTTGCACACATTCTTCGTACAGGAGCAGAAATACCTTTAGAAATCCTAACTTTGACTCTCCCCTGCCTGTCAGTTCTATGTGGGTGCCCCTGGATCTTTGTCAGACTAGTGTTCCCACATTCCATACTGAACTGTTTCTGTAGAACCTGTGACACCTTTCCGTGACTAAATCTTGTTGGGTAAGTAAATGGTAAGTATATGTTACATTGACTTGGGCCTTGCTGAAGGGACTGTGGGGTTTATAAAGTGACCAGATATTACCAGCGTATGAAGACCGTAGGTGTTAGCCTTGCTGAAGGGACGGTGGTATCTACAGAAACCACCTTTTCTCCAGCTGCTCAGGCTGTCAGGGCTTTGATACAATTGATTTAAAGTGTGTCTTTTCAAGTCTTTGAGTCCAAGGTGCTTTTATGCCTGGTGTATGGTTACTGGTGTTTACTTTGTGCTTCTAATTACTTTTCAGGACAGAATTTACATTAAAAGCTCCTTGAAAGTAACTGCAGAAGCCACATGACCATCAAGTTGCTACATGAACCTGGGGTTTGGGGAATGACCAAATTTCCTTTGTTATGGGAAATTCTAGAATTTCTTCCTTTTCCTGTGTTTTGTGTTTTTGTTTGTTTGTTTTGTTTTGTTTTTTTCTCCTTTGGCCCATCACCCTTACCCCTTTCCCCAACAGTGTTAGGAAAAGACTCAAGATAGATGTGTTGAGACTTTTCTGAGCTGTCTTTGTAGGCCTTACTCAGGTGGAGGCTAGTTCTCAACCACAGCAATCTACGAGCTCAGGGGAAGGTGTTGTCATTCCATACGGCAAATTTTGGATTTGGTTGTGAGCACACATGTCAGATGAATGCGTTCATGTCTTTCCACAATTAAACTCTGGAATGACAATAAATACACAAGGTTCAGTGACATCAGCTTGCCATATAGTCCCACCTACTTTGGTAATCTGGCTGCGGCAAAAGTGGGTTCTTTATTCCAGTCTTCACTAGTAGCATTAACTCATACCTAGTAGCATTAACTCATAGCACAGCTCACAAGGCACAAGTAACTATATCTATATGTCTCTGTATGGTTTACAGTTGAAAGAGTCTGCAGCAGAGCTCAAAAGATTTCAGAAAAGGGCTGAGAGAAGCTGCATTGATAGGTCATGAACCAGACCAGTGCCAGGAGGGTGCTGCTGGAGTCAGGCTTTCAGAGTGAGGCTGGAGTCCAGCTGCAAGGTGAAAAGCCAGACTGAGTGCTCAGGAAATGGGGGTTCCTGCCTGGGTTCAGGTGGGGGAGCAGGCTGAGTAGGCGGTGTCGATAACGGACAAGCCAAGCCGAAACTCCAGGGAATTAGGGGGTCCTCTGCTTGTTGGTCTTGGATGCGCACATCAATTATCAGACCATAGGTGGTTGTAGGACCCTGTCATCCGAGTGTTAGAGGTACTGGCTGATTGTGTGTGTCAACTTGACGAAAGCTAGAGTCATCAGAGGAAGGAGGTTCAGCTAAGGAGGTGTCTCAATGAGATCCAGCTGTAAAGAATTTTCTCATTTAGTGATCAGTGTGGGGAGGGCCCACCAGCCCATAGTGAGTGGTTCCATCCCTGGGCTGCTGGTCCTGAATTCCATAAGGAGGTGGGCTGAGCAAGCCATGGAAAACAAGCCAGTAAGCAGCTTCCTCTCCATGGCCTCTGCATCATCTGCTCCCAGGATCCTTCCCTGTTCAAGTCCCCGTCCTGACTTCCTTCAGTGATGAACAGCCGTGTTGAAGTATAAGCCAAATAAACCCTTTTCTCCCCAGTCGCTTTTGGTCATGGTGTTTCGTCTCGGTAATAGAAACCCTAACTAAGGTCTATTACTTTATTGGGTCCAGGTGAGAGAGTTACATTTTCTGTCATCTGCCGTGTTGGATAAGTTCTTGTTCCTGGTTTCCCTGATATGTTTTTAATGTGCCCTTGTGCCCTTACATTTTAAATTTATTCCAATTCAGTAATAGTATGTCTCCCTTTCTACTTCCAGGAATAAGTCATTTATTAGTCTGTGCTGGGTGGGTGGGACCTGACAGATGGTGCTGTTAATGGGTCTACCCATTGGCTTCAGTTATCCAATTTTCTCAAAATGGACTGCCCAAGGTATAACATAGGAGAAATGTGAATAATGATAACAACTGTAATGCCTCAACTGATGTGCTTGCTTGCAAAGCACTGCTTTCTCTGATTTTTTTTTTTTTTTTTAAACAGGGTTTCTCTACATAGCCATGGCTGTCCTGGCGTTCACTATTTAGACCCACTGGCCCCCAAGTCACAGAGTTCCACCTGCCTCTACCTCCTTAGTGCTGGGATTAAAGGCATGTGCCACCACAACCGACCTACAAATACATATTTTTTTGAGACAGGTCTCATGTAGCCCAAGCTGGCCTCCAATTTCCTACACAGCTAAGGATAACTCTGAACTTCTGAACCTCCTCAGTATGTTTATGTGGTGCTAGTAATGGAACCCAGAGTGTTATGCATGCAGAGGTGCACTCTACCAACTAAACTACATTCCCAGCCCTGTCTTCAGGACTTTAATCATAGCCAGGACACTTCTGATTTAAAGAGAGAATACCTAGGAAAGGAAAAGTCTTAACTGGTGACCTGACCTGTCCTTAGATTATCTCAAATGCCTGCTTCCCCCAGCCTCAGCCAGCAGTTCATTTGGCTGTTTTCAAGTGAAAATACTAAAATTAGAGCTCTCTCTCTCTCTCATTCTCTCGTTTCCTTGTATGTAGTTTCACAATGGGAATTTGAAACTTGTCCTTAAAAAGTTCCTGGTATATGAGTGTAAAGTTGAGGAAACCTTCCCTTTACTCAGGTTTCTTCCGCAGGAGGTAATTAACTAGCAGCTAATTCAGATCCATTTCAAGGATATTGGTTTTTCTTCTTAAGAGAGATTCACCAGATTAATGACTTTGGATAAAACTTTTTTTGAGACGGGCTTATGTACCCTAAGCTAGAATCGGTTGTGTTTTGCTATTGCCGAATATGATCTTGAACTTCTTGATCCTCCCATCTCTGTGCTGGGGATCCTCCCCAAGTGCTGGGATTTCAGGTGAGGGCCAGTTTATTTTGTGGTAGGGATTGAAACGGGGTTCATGAATGCTAGGCAAGCACTCCATCCTCAGCCCTGGATCAAACTTTTCAGTGCAATATTTTATATAAATACAGAACTTTGTTTATACTGTTGCATATTTGATTGACTATCCCCATCATTCCTCAGTTATCATGTAAGTTTGAACATTACAGTCTTGTTCACTGGGATGTTGGGGAGAATTATCCGTGACTGACCTACAGTGTAGTTGGGTTGTCTCTCATCATACTTGTAGTATTGGGGTGCTATCATTTTTCTCTAGAATTTGGGAAGGCGTTTGATGTCCTCCCTCTTTACTGCATATAAGCTTGGGGAGTCCCTTTTACTAAGTGCTGTGTGCAGAGCATGTGCTGGGTAACACAGTACTGTAGAGGACTCTGTTTCCTCCTTACGGGCTAAGACAGGACGATTAGGTCTACTTGGAGACTTTATTTGATAATCAGGACTTAGAACAGTAAGGGTAGGAGAATATCTTTTCTTAAAGAAACTAAACCTAAACCGAGAAAATGTCTCAATTTATTTTTGGTTTTGTTTCAATTCCCAACCCCCACCCCATCCCACCCCCACCCCCGCCTTTGAGACTTGAAGCTACTTTGTAGCCCAGGCTAGCCTGGAACTCATCATGTAACCCAAACTGGCTTTGAACCTGCAGTGATCCTCCTGCCTTGGTCTCCATTTTGTAAAGTCCTGGAGAGCAAGCCCAGAACTTTGTGTATGGTAGGCAAGTATTCTACCAACTGAGCTTCCTCTCCAGCTCTTCAGGAAAGGTATTTTCAAAGATTTTACTTTAAAAATACATATATGGGTGATAAAAAGTAGTTTCCTTAAAGAAAATAGCATTTCATCTTACCTAATGATTCTGGCAATTTAAAAAAAAATCATTAGTAGGGGAACCTTAACTGAAGTTGTACTTAATGGTACCTACATTGAAAGAGCATGCTGTAAGTATTAGATACGTTAGAAGTAAGCCGTACTTATATTGTTTTTTTGATATAGTTCATTTTTGCTTCTTATTTTAGACCTGTAATGGCCAAATACTACAGTGAAGTTCCAAGTTTGCAACAAGATGATTCAGTTATAGAAGGAGTAAGTGACCAAGTACTTGTGGCAGTGGTGGTCAGTTTTACTTTGATTGCTACTCTCCTGTATGCACTTTTCAGGTGAGAGTAAAAGAAATGATTTGTGGTACTGTGTCTTCCTAAAGGTCAATGACTCTTTGATTCTTCCTAGTAATAGCTGGTCTCGGTGACTCCATGTATGTTCTAAAGCATTTTATTTTCTATTAAGCTTTGAATGCTACCATATTTTTTCCTTACTTACCTGGGAATATTTAAATTCATTGTTTCCATTTTGATTAAAATATTACTATTTCCTATGAGTATATCCTAGTTTTAAAAAACATTTTTTTTTTCCGAGACAGGGTTTCTCTGTGTAGTTTTGGTGCCTGTCCTGGATCTCACTCTGTAGACCAGGCTGGTCTCAAATTCACAGAGATCCACCTGGCTCTGCCTCTTGAGTGTTGGGATTAAAAGTGTGCGCCACCACCACCCGGCTAGTTTAAAAATGTTCATAATTGAAGGCTGGGCCGTGGCGGCGCACGCCTTTAATCCCAGCACTCGGGAGGCAGAGTCAGGCGAATCTCTGCGAGTTCGAGGCCAGCCTGGTCTCCAAAGCGAGTTCCAGGAAAGGTGCAAAGCTACACAGAGAAACCCTGTCTCGAAAAACCAAAAAAAAAATAAAATAAAAAATAAAAATGTTTATAATTGAATCCAGCTAGCCAGTGGTATGGATAATCCATGCAAAATAGTTAAATAGAAAAAGTGAACGAAACCAAACCAAAGACAAAAACCCACCTCATTACTGATACCAGTGCTCTCCTGGCCTAATCCCATTCCTTTATATTAGCTGCCAACTTCTTGCTTCTGATTTTCCATTATACTTGCTAAGATGTTAGTGGTGTGCTCATGTCTTAGTTTGCTGTGATAAAGACGATCATGACCAAAAGCAAGTTGAGGAGGGAAGGGTCTCTTTCTTTGTGGAGCTCTCAGGTCACACTCCATTACTGAGGGAAATCAGGATAGGAACTTGGCAGGACCTGAAGCAGAGACCATGGAAGAGTACTGTTTACTGGCTTGTTCCTCATGGCTTGCTTAGCTGCCTTTCTTATACTATCCAGGCTGAGAGATCAGAGAGACAAAGGAACAAGCCACTGCCATGTCTCACCTTGCCAACTCCATGACTCCTCTGACTGAACGCCTCTGAGTCCTTAGCTAAAAGCTCTCCAGTCGAAAACCTTTAGTTCCTGTCTCCTTGTGCCTTATATACCTTTCTCCGACCAGCCATCACTTCCTTCCTAGTGCTCAGATTAATGGTGTGTGTGTGCTTCCCAAATACTGGGATTAAAGGTGTGAGATCTCAAGTGCTGGGATTAAAGGTGTGTGCCACCATTGCCTGGCTCTGCTTCTCCCCTAGACTGAGTCAATCTCATGTAGTCCAGGGTGGCTTTGAACTCTCAGAGATCCAGATGGATCTCTGCCTCCCAAGTGCTAGGACTAAAGGTGTGTGCCATCACTGCCTGACGTCTATGTTTAATCTAGTGGCTTGTTCTGTTCTCTGATCTTCAGGCAAATTTTATTCTTTTTCTAAAATTAAAAAAATATATTTTGAGGCCCAGATGATGGGTCAGTGGGCAGATACATTTGCCATGCCTGATGACTTGAGTTCAGTCCCAGAACTCACATGGTAAAAGAGAAGCAATGCCTGTAAGTTATACTCTGGTCTACACATGTGTGCCATAGCGCACACACCCATACACAGACACATTGTACACCATACACAAAATAAATGAGTTTTAAAATTATTAATTATTATTAATGGGTTTGTAGCATACTTGCCATGGTGTACATGTAGAAGTCAGAGGGTAACATTGTAGTTAGTTTTCATCCTGGCATGGGTTCTGGAGACCCAACTCAGGTCATTAGGCTTGCACAACAAGTGCCTGTATCCATGAAGCCGTCTCATCAGCTTGTGGTCAAAAATTAGACTAATAACGCAGATGGATTAACCTGATAGTTTTTTTCAAAATTTACTTCATTCTATCCAACAGAAATGTACAGCACAACATTCATCCAGAAAACCAAGAACTAGTCAGGGTGCTTCGAGAGCAACTTCAAACAGAACAGGTATGGTTATGTAGTATGTATATTTATGTAAGGGGATGTTATAACTTCCTTTTAAACGCACTGGTGAGGAGTCATTAGAAAATAACTTCTGAGAAATATCAACGTCTTTACTCCTTACATTACAGTATATTGTTTTTCAGGTTATATAGTTTCATATTAAGCCTTTTTTCCCCCCCAGACAGGGTTTCTCTGTGTACCCCTGGCTGTCCTGGAACTCATTCTGTAGACCAGGTGACCTCAAACTCACAGAAATTCACCTGCCTCTGCCTTCTGAGTGCTGGGATTAAAGGCATGTACTACCACTGTCCAGCTGACATTTTCTTTTGTGGGTATTGGAGGGACAATAAGGCAGTCTCATGTATTCCTGTCTGGCCTGGAACATGATTGGTAGTTGAGGATGCTCTTAAACTCCTAATCTTCCTGTCTCCACCTGTGTCTCAGTTACTTTTCTATTATTGTGAAGAGACCAAGGCAACTTATAAAAAAAAAAAAAAGGCATTTAGCTGGGCGGTGGTGGCGCACGCCTCTAATCCCAGCACTCTGTGAGTTCGAGGCCAGCCTGGGCTACCAAGTGAGTCCCAGGAAAGGCGCAAAGCTACACAGAGAAACCCTGTCTCGAAAAACAAAAACAAAAACAAAAAAGGCATTTAATTAGGGGCTTGCTTACTGTTTCAGAGGGTTAGTTCATTATCATCATGCTGGGGAGCATGGTGGCAGGCAGGCAGGCAGGTATAACATAACTCTGGAGCAGTAGCTGAGAGCTTACATCTTATCCATAAATTGGAGGCAGAATAGGAGAAACTGGGCCTGTGTGGACTTTTGAAACCTCAAAGCCTGCCTTCAGTGACATACCTCATCCAACAAGGCCACACCTCCTAATCCTTCCCAAAACAGTTCACCAGCTAGAGACCTCGCATTCAAATTCTATATGAGCCTAATGGGAGCCATTCTCATTCAAACCATCAGAACCTCCCAAGTGCCACCAAACCCAGCATTAAATTGACTGGTCTTAATCTATACAGATACAAGCATGATTTTTATGAACTTGCTCTAAAAAGAGAATAATTTTTGTATTTGTTGTTTGTGTAGAAATAAGATTGGCCTTGACTGAAATGAAGTAGAAACTTTTGTTTGTTTGTTTGTTTGTTTGTTTGTTTGAGACAGAATCACAGGGTCCTGGCTAGCCTAGAACTTGCTGTGTAGACCAAGCTGCCCTCAAACTCATAGAGACATACTTGCCTCTGCCTCCCTAATCCTGGGATTACAGGTATGAGCTACCATATTTGGCTTTTGTTGTTAGATTCTTCCTTTTCTTTAAATGATACATTTTTTTTTTTGGTTTTTCGAGACAGGGTTTCTCTGTGTAGCTTTGCGCCTTTCCTGGAACTCACTTGGTAGTCCAGGCTGGCCTCGAACTCACAGAGATCCGCCTGGCTCTGCCTCCCGAGTGCTGGGATTAAAGGCGTGCGCCACCACCGCCCGGCATTTTTTTAATTAAATTTTTTCATTTATCTTACATCCTGACCACAGTTTCCCCTCCTCTCCTCCCATCCCCCCCATCTCCACTCTGACCCCCATCTGCTCTTCCTTTGTTTCTGTTCAGAAAAGGGCAGGACATTCTTTAAAAAAAAAAAAAAAAAGAAAGGTAGAATTATTTTATTTTAATATTTAAATATTTTAATATTTTCTTTTTGTAACATTAAGACTGCTGTGACTATACCACCTTGGGTTATATTGGTGCTGTCTTAAGAAATATGAAAGTTTAATTATAATTTCTTAACATTGTATCAAAGTTCTTTAATTCAATTTGTAGTTAAGTTTATATTTACTAAATTTGATTTTTTGTGATAATTGTTTTATTTAAAAAAATTTTAATACCTATTTATTGTATGTATATAAATGTTATGCCTCATGTGTGCATGTGCAACATGTGTGTGCCTGTTGCCATGGAATTCAGCAGAGGGTGTTGATCCTCTGGAACTTGATTACAGATGGCTGTGAGCCATCATGTGGGTTCTCGGAACCGAACATAGATACTGTAAGAACAGTTCATGCCCTTAACTGCTGAGCCAGCTCTCCAGTCCCTTGATGAAGCTGTACACTTCGGGTTGGTGCTGGAGAGTTTCCAGGTCCTTAGGACTACAATCAATCCTGTCAGTGGAGTCTTTGCCCTCGTGGCACTTATAATTCAGAATGATATTTGATGTGTGCTCTTGTACAAGTCATTTCTCTCAACACTGCTATCTGATCACAGCGGTGGTGAGACCAAGGAATATGCATATGTGTCTGTATTTGATTGGTTTGGGGTGTTGTGAGACAAAGTCTCATGTAGCCCAAGGCTGGAACTTGGTAGGTAGGGTCACTTGGGTAACTTGGACTTCTTCTCTTCCTGCCTCCACATCCTTGCTTTTGGGATTGCAAACATGTACACCGAAAAGCATATTAACATTTACTAGCACGACTTTGTGAAGGACCAAGTTAATTACCAATAGTGTTCATTTTTTTCTACCTCTAACATTAGCGAGTCTTCAGCGGAAGTTTAATTCTGTTCTTGTAGAAGGTAGAGCAGACATGCAACACTTATCAGAGGGCAGCTGTTAAGTGAAAAGGCTGTGGTAAACAAAGCCAGACACAGACCTGCAATCGCAGCGTTTGAGAAGCTGGGGTAGAACTGCTGTAAATTCCAGGTCTGCCAAGGCTACATAGCAAAACGCTGTCTCAAAAAAAATTTTAATGAGTACTAAGAATAATAGTTTGATATTTCTCTTTTGGTGGTATTGAGGGCCTCATGCATGCTAAGTGGGTGCTCTCCCACTGAGTTACACTGAAGCCTGATGTTTCTTTCATTTTTCTTATTTTTTAAATTTATTTTTATTTTTTATTCTCTCATATATTACATCCTGGCTATAGTTTTCCATCCCTCCCCTCCCCCAGATCTGTCCCCCACCGTACCTCCACCTCCCCTCAGAGAAGAGCAGGCCTCCCGGGACATCAACCTAACATAATGACATAACAAGCTACGGTAAGGCCAGGCTGGAGGAGGCAACCCAGTAGGAGGAAAAGAGTCAGAGACAGCCCCCTGCTCCCACTGTTAGGAACCCACAAGAACACCAAGATACTCAGCCGTAGCATCTATGCAGAGGACCTACATCAGACCCCTTCGCTGGTCTCTGCAAACTGAGTCTGGTCCGTTGATTCTATGGGCTGTGCTCTTGTGGTGTCCCTGACCCCTCTGGTTCATACTGTCGTTCCTCCCCTCCTCCTCAGGACTCCCCGAGCTCCAACTAATATTTGGCTGTGGGACTCTGCATCTGTTCCCATCAGTTGCTGGATGAAGTCTCTGGTCTTTTGATGACGATTCTGCTATGAAGCCTGGTGTTTCTTATTCTCTAGTTTATATATGAGCTTGTGGAACTCAAAATAACGTATGCATTGTAATAAAGTAAAAGACAAACTTTGAGTTAATCTATATTTTGTTTTCAAATTGTGTTTAGGAAGGAACGTGGAGGCCAAGTAATTTACATAAAACAATGTAACTTTGTAAGCTTCTCAGTCTTGCAAGACCTTAAACTATTGTGTATGTGTAATTTCTGTTCTGAGAGGTGTGTCTGTGTTCTCTCACCAGGATGTCCCTGCTCCTGCTCGACAGCAATTCTACACTGAAATGTACTGTCCAATCTGCTTACATCAGGCCTCCTTTCCTGTTGAAACAAACTGTGGACATCTTTTTTGTGGTAAGCAAACAATATCATACTTCGTTAAAGTGACTAGCCAAGACCTATAGGCTGGATTGATAGTTTTCTTTTTATCACATCTTCTATTTCCTGAGAAAAGTAGGTTGCTTCTGATGTTCTGCTATAGTTGCTATCCAAATGATAGTATATTATTTAGATGGTAAATGTACTAAGGTCTGAGGATGCAGACCAGTTGGTAGAGTGCCTGCATGTCACGCACTTGATCCCTAGGACTGTATAAACCAGGCGTGGTGGTGCATGCCTGAATCCTAGTACTCAGTGGAGGAAGGAGGATCAGAAGTCAAAGTCATCCTCAGCTAGAGAGCAAGTTCAAGACCAGCTTGAGTTACATGAGTGTGGTAGAATATTATTTAAGGTGTGTTACTTTTGTTTATGCTCTGGAATTTGTTTAATGATGCAAAAAATGTGTTATATTTGTTTGATTAAATAAAATTCACCTGCGGTCAGAAGGCTGCGTCAGCAACTAGCTGACAGGAAGTGGTAGGGAGGAGCCAGGGGGAGAGGGGCTTTTAAGTGGGGGCTGGGAGAAGGACAAGGGTTTTTTTGGGAGATTTGAGCAAGGAGAGGAGGAGTGACTTGCCATTCAGCCTCTCTGAGGAGCAGAATTCTCCCCTAACCTTTGAATCTTGAGTTCTTTAGAGGGACAGAGATCTAGATAAATTCCCTAGGAAGCTTTGAAAGAGTCAGTGCCTGAGGGACTAGAATCCCCTCAGGCTGCGGCCTTTGCAGTCGAACTGCTGCAGCAGTGGAGTTGCAGTGGCTGATTAGGACAGACATGGCTTAAACGGCAGCAACAGTTAGAAAGAAAGACGACACATGAGAAAAAAAAAGTATATACCCATGCATGTGTGATAGTATACACACAGACAGACAGGTGCTAAATCATTATTTTCTATTTAGTGCATTAGCACTTGGGTTCCAAGCTTTAGGAAAAAAAAAGCAAAACTCATTAAGCTTCTATATCATGAGCACTGTGTTTCTTGGAAGAATAGTTCAAGTTTCCTAGTAACACCATGGGTCCACTGAGTCCTCCTTCAAGTTTTGTCAATTTTATTTGTTATTCAAACTTGCCATGGCAAGATTGTTCGCTCAAGAACTAAGCCACAAACCTCTACTGCCTGTCTTTATTCTTTCTGTGTGACCTTAAGGAGTTGGAGATAGAGAATGAGAAACCTAGAACACATAAAGAGGGAGTATTTTCACATTCATTATCAATGAGAGGTGTTCCCAGAAGACTTCATAGAGAGTATCAAGATATCATTAATTTCTTATTATGTCCACACAAGGTTGGGAGGTGCCCACTGTGGACCGGAAGCATAATACACTTAATCTCATCCAGACCACAAATCAGAAACTGAGGCTGAGAGAAGGCAAGAAATTCTGTAATGGGTAACCCAGCCATCAAACAACCTAGATCTGTCTTTAAGCTCTGCGCTGAATTCTGCTTTGACCGGTGGCTTACAGAAGATGAACACTCTAAGAGCTGCCCCCAAGTTAGAGATGTCCAGTCATTAGGCCTATTTTTCAATAGTAGTATTCCTTTCTGTTAGTTGTAAGTTGAATAACAGTGTTTTTATGTTTTACCCTTTGAACCTGCAGACACTACATAAAAATGTCCGAGGAGGATATTAGAAGCAGTCTATATACAATATATACAGTATATATAATTAAGGTAGATCTTGATTATTCCCGTATGCTCTGAATTTTTACTTAAAGACTACACTGTAGCATACCCTGGTCCTTTATTAGTATCCTCCCTTTTGTGTCTTTTGTTTGACGTCATCGTAGAAGTCTTACCGTTTTATTATTGATATTGCTGTGTTTGATAGGAATATTTGAAATCCCTACCATGCAGTGCAGTTTTCCATACATTGTGCTTATTATACTGAATCTAGTTCTGTGTTCCTTCAGCTGTTCATTTCAAACTCCCCAAGATTTTGTTCTTAAATCTTGTAGCCCTGGCTGGCCTAGAACTTGCTATGTGACCGGACTTGCTTCAAACCCAGAGATTCACCTCCCTCTGCCTTCTAAATACTGGGACTAAAAGCATATGCCCCCAGACCCAGCTGTGGTTTTAGTTTGGATTTTTTTTTTTTTTTTTGAGACAATATATTGCTTTGTACACCAGCCAGGCACTGAACCAACTGGCATTTCTACCTCAACCTCCAAAAGGTTGGGATACAGGTGTGCACCACCTTGCCCTACTTCACTAAGGGTTTTAGCTCAAGTCCCTAGCACATGCTAAAACACTGAATTATCTGTGGAATATATTATTCTTTTTCTTTTTTTTTTTCCGAGACAGGGTTTCTCTGTGTAGCTCTGGCGCCTTTCCTGGAACTCACTTGGTAGCCCAGGCTGGCCTCGAACTCACAGAGATCCGCCGGCCTCTGCCTCCCCAGTGCTGGGATTAAAGGCGTGCGCCACCACCGCCCAGCTGGAATGTATTATTCACCTTTGCCAAGGGAGGACAGTTCTCTCAGGAACTTTGCCCAGCCCTTCTCTGAGCTCTACTCAGGATCTTTCAGCTTTTCTTTGTTTTGGTTTAAGACTTTCTGTGTTTGTGTGCATCAGTTCAGGTGTCCTGGTGTGTGTAGAGACGTTAAAGGACAAATCCCAGTGAGTCCTTGCCTTTCTACCTTGAGAGAGGGTTTCTTGTTCACTTCTGCATATGCCAAGCTAGCTGGCCTCCAGGCTTCTGCCTGTTCTCCCGTCTCCACATCCCATCTCTAGAGCACCGAGATTACAGACATGTGCCACTGCATCCAGCCTTGCATGGGTTCTAGGGGTCTGAACTCAGGTCCTCAAGCTTAGAGAGCAAGTGCTCTGTGGACTGTCGCCTCTTGTCCGGCCCAGTGTCAGTCTTTTAACTGTCTTGGGAATGCTGAAGAGTAGCAGGATAAGAAGGATCAGCTGCGGGAGGGAAGCTAATGGCCATCAGGAGAGACAGCTTGCTGCTCTCAGACCTGTGGTAGGTATTCCTGATCCACCTGACCTGCCTTCTGAATCTAGACAGGACCTTGATCACCCTCCCGGCAGGTGTTAGCAGTCTGTGAGGCTTGGCAGGCAAAATGAACTTATTTGCCAACTCAGGCGTAGCCGATTCACTGAGTGGATAATCCTGGCAATTGAAAGATGGCTGTATTGTGTTCTTGCTTTTACCTCTGGGTCTGAGGTAATAGGGTAGATTGCTTCTGATATCCTGCTCTACTTGTTAGGTATGGTTTTCTTTTGAGCTGAGTCTCGTGGATCCTAGATTGGCCTCAAATGTGCTGTGTAGCCCAGGATGACCGTGAACTTCTGATCTGCATTACCTCCCAGGTGCTGAGATTTCAGGCATGTACTTCCATGCCTAGTTTCTGTGCTGAGGGGGATTGATAACCCAAGGCCTTGTGCATGCTAAGCTACCACTCCTCCAGCTGAGCCATGTTACACACATTTGTTTAGTAAATTCAAAAGTAAAAAACTTGTTATGCAATTTCTCAAAATTCTTTGAACAGTAGTTCAAGTACATTAATACCACGTGTGTCAAGAGCTCTTAGGTCAGTAATTCTTTTATGTAGCAGAACACCTCTGCTCCACTGCAGTAAATTAGAATAGTAACAGCAACAGAATCATCTTATTGGCATCTATAATCTACATTATTTTACTCTGTCAGGCCTCTGAGATTTTGTTCTCATTTTGCAATTAAGTAGATTCAGAGAGATTGTGACCCAGATGAAAGTTCAATCATTTCTTGCACCATATGATACTTAAGTATCTTTTTCTGTGGAAGGAGAAATGTGAATAAAAAAAAATCAAACATCTAATAGCAAATGAACTGAAGCATTTAATCTGCTGACTCATAGTTTTTCAGTGAAGCCAAATGGTGTTACATAATTGGCAAAATAAGGACACCCACACCCTAGTTTCAGGAAAAGATACTCGAGATTAAATGAGTGTAATGTCTTTCAAAGTAGGTTGAATTTTGGGGTGAAAAGGTCATAGATAAAGCTAAGACATGGTATCAGATGAAAATAATATCACTAATAGATTAATTTCTGTTTTCTTTTTGTGTATATATGCACCTGTGTACATATTTGTATGTGTACAGGTTCATGTATTTGTGTACACAGACATATGTGTGTGCCTGTGTGTGTGTGTATACACATACTCACACATGTATGTGTTGAGGCCAGAGATTGGTGCTGGTATTGTTGCCAGTCTTATTTTGTTGTTGTTGTTGGTGGTGTTTGTTTGTTTGTTTGTTTTTTGAGACAGGGTCTCTCAATTAATGTAGCTTTGACTCTCCTGGAACTCACTTTGTAGACCAGTCTGGCTTCAAATTCATAGAGATCCACTTTCCTCAGTCGCCACCCTAGTGTGCTAAGATTAAAGGTCTGTGCTACCAATTCTCTTAGTTTATACAGTCCCTCCCCCAACCCGGAGTGCAGTGATTAGGTTAGACTAGCTGGCCAACAAGCCCCGATGATCTCTCTCTCATGCTGGGGTTACAAACCTGGCCACTGTACCTGGTTTTTACGTTGACGCTGCAGAGCCAAACTCGGGGACTAATGTAATGTAGCTCCCTGACTTCCTGGTCTTCCTTTGTTTCCCATGGATGCTGGGGACGAGCCCTTCAGCAACTGAGCTATCTCTGTAGCCACAAGTTTTGCTTTCCTATGGGTTTTGTGTGAAATTAGAATGCCTGAAGTACTTAATAAACTTTGTAATTAACACAGAGCTCCATGAAGGTATAGGTGTGAGATGATAGGTTAGCTTTTAAATTCCTCTTGAAGTTGGTAAATTGGCTGTTCCCTAATTTGGTCAGCTTCTGCTAATGCAAGTGGTTGCTCTCCAGTATTCTCACAAACCCTTCCTTTCTGCTTTAACTCTTGTGTATAAAGAACACAAGTGTCTTGTCTTCTGTTTTCTGCCTGAATAAACCTTAGCTATCCTACAAAGTTCAGTTCCAGTGCTGGACTCGGGTTGCTCTGCACAGATCTACTCCTTTTCATTTCACATTGCACAGGTGAAGACTAGCTATCTTCTGATTTGAGTATGTCACTTTGTTTTCCACAATTGGATTGCTATTGCTTCTTCTAAATTCTGACTTAGAGAGGTCAGAGTAAGGAACATGGGCTGGGAATGTAGCTCAGTTAGTAGAGTACTAGCCTAGCATACATGAAGCCTTCTGTTTGGCCTTTTTTTTAAAAAGCATCAGACAGTAAAAATCCTCATGTTACTGGGTTGAAGTTAAGTGTTTATTTACTGAGTGCCTTTACCAACTTTTGAGGTCTTCTTTGAGGCAGGGTTGCCATCTTTGGTTGTTTTGTTGCCCATGAATATCTTTGTGTGTGTGTGTGTGTGTGTGTGTGTGTGTGTGTGTGTGTGTGCTCATATGAGTATACATATGAGTGTGGGAGTGCTTGTGGAGGCCCATGTTAACCTCAGGTGTTGGTCCTCAGGATACTGTCTTCTTTTCCGTTTGTGTGTGGAGGTGTGGAGGTGGATGGGTGTGCATGCATGTGGTGGTGTCTTCCTCAGTCACTCTCTACCTTATTCTTGAGATAGAGACTCTCACTCAACCTGGAGCGTGCTCGTTTGGCTAGGCTGGCTGGCCAGCAAGGCTCAGGAATGTTCATATGGCCACCTTTTCTGCTTTGGCATCTCAGGCACAGACTGCAGAGCCTGGATTTAAACAGTGATGTAAAGTGAACGTGAGTACTGGGATCAGAGTTGTCATACTTACTCTGATTTTACATACTCAGCCACCTCCCCAGGCCTGACCTTTTCTCTCTTTTGAGGTGAGAGCTGGTCCTCTTACTGTCATGGAGCTTACTAGGTAGGCTAGCCTGGTTGGCCAGTGAACCCCAGGGATCCACCTGTCGTTGCCTCCCCAGTACTGGGATCCCATGTGTATGCCACAATGTCCAAATATTTTACATTGGCTCTTGGGAGCCAACTGAGGTCCTTATGCTTGTACAGCAAAGACTTTACTAATTAAGCCATCTCCCCCATCCTCATGAATATCACCTAGTACAGAAAGAACTTCAAATATTGAACTAGGATATACATTTTATCAAGGAAGCCTAGTATTTCAGTGATTTGGTTTTCACTTTTTGGAGTGGCAGGGAGGGAAGGTTTCATGTAGCCTAGGCTGGTCTTGAACTTGCTGTGTAGTTGAAGTTGATCTGAAACTCCTGACCCTCTCACCTCAGCCTTGTAAGTGAAGGGATTATAGCCACCACATCTCACTTAATTTGGCTTTCTAAACCCTTGTTATTGTTGAGACAAGATTTCACTGGGTAGCCCCATGTGGCCTCTAACTTGAAATCCAGCTATCTGTGCTTCCCAAGTACTGGGATTATAGGTATGTGTCACAACACCCTGCTGGTTCAGTGAACTCCTAAAAAAAAGTATTTTTCAGCTACATCAAATTTGGAACAAAAAGTATCCGACAGTTTATCATATGTAATAACATGATTATTATACATAGGAAACTATTTTCTATGAGGCCTCAGTAACTGAGGGGGTTAATATTTGCTTTTTATTGTATAAAAATGTCTGTTGCTTAATTAGTAGCTGAAATAAAAATGTTTTTTAATAGTGGGAAATGATTGCCAGATTTTAATTTACCTGAAGATTTGGTTGGATGAAATAAAATTTTTTTCTAGGAATATTTAATAAACAATGTAGATGAACAGTGTACCAAAACAATGTTTTAAGGAAGGTAATGCTGTTAAGTAGTTGAAACTTGACTAGCATATATGGACTTGAAAGCTTCAATGTTGATATTTTCTTATTCCACTAGGTTCCTGCATAATTGCATATTGGCGATATGGGTCCTGGCTCGGTGCAATCAGTTGTCCAATCTGTAGACAAACGGTAGTGTTCTTCTCTCTATATAAAGCATCACTTATGTTATTCATTTCATAAATATTAGCAGGTTTTTTTGTTTTAAAGTGTTTTATTTTATGTGTATTTGCCTGAGTGTCTGTATGTGCAGCCTGTGTGTGCAAGAGCCCATAGAGGTCAGAAGAAGGTATTGGATCCTCTCAAACTGAAGTTATAGTGACTATGAGCTACCATATTGGTGTTGAGAACTGAACCCATCTGCAGGAGCTAAGCTTTCTTAACCACTGAGCCATCTCTCCTGCCCAATATTAGCAGTTTTAAAATTTAAATTGAGCTACATTTTCAGCCAAACTATATTTTTACTGTGTCTGTGACTTCACTAATTTTTAAAAAAATACATTAAAAATCATTATGGTATCATAAAGAAAGGAATTATATTTGAAATCCTATAGTTTTAGTGATGAAAAGCAAGTGATAAATGAGTTTGCCCCAATTCCTAAGCCTTTGTTATATGACCAGCAAAGGAATAAATGAACCAGATAATCACATGGCAGCATGATATCTCCTGCATACTGTTCTCTTTTGGAAAAATATGTTCTTCCTTTTAAAAATATTTAATGTGTGCCATTTTCTTTGAACTTTAGTAATGAAACTGCACAGGTATTCGTACAATGTGCATATCCTTTGTTCTAGCTATCATTTTCCCATTACTGTTAGCGCAGGAGAGCCAGATTTTCTTCTTGTTTCCTTTTTATTTCTGTAGTCGCAAACTTGACTTCATTCACTTTTTCCTTTTTCTCACATGGTTAGAACTAAAGTTGACCCCCCCCCCCCCCCCCCCGTCACATTGTTTCTGCGGCTAATTTGATATGTGACATAGACAATCAGTAGCTCTTACCTTTTGCCGGAAACATGGAGGCCAGATAGTATATCTTGAACTGAGTTCCACCATGTCTTAGCCAGTGTTCTTTTGCTGTGAAGAGACACTATGAGCACAGCAACTCTTATAAAGGACAACATTTAATTGGGACTTACTTACAGTTGAGAGGTTTGTCATCATGGCAGGAAGCATGGCAGCACGCAGGTAGACATGGTGCTGGAGAGGTAGCTGAGAGTTCTACATCCACATTCAAAGGCAGCCGGAGAGACTGGGCATGACTTGACATTTAAAACCCCAAAGCCCACCCTCAGTGACACACTTCCTCCAACAAGGCCACGCCCCCAACCCCTATCAAGTAGTGTCACTCCTGAATGACCAAGCATTCAAATCTCTGAGTCTGTGGGAGCCATGCCTATTCAAAGCACCACCCACTGTTCTGCCCCTCTTTTTGACTTCACCCATGGCCTTCCTAGAGTGTGGGCGTGCTGCACTGAAAACTGAGTAAGGACTAGTAAGGTGATGAAGCTGTCTTGTTGGATAGCCATTGCTTCCATAACCCTAGTCCTTCAACCTGCAGGCAAGACAGGAAGTGCTGCCGTGCCTCTTCTTCACCAGAAAAAGGCTGTGGAAATGAGATGCAGGCTCCTGTCCCCGACTAGAGTACACTTATCACTCCTCTCTGTACGTGAACTTCAAACACTCCCACCAGGATTTCAAGGATTTTTTTTTATTCTTCAGGTTTATTGGACATCCCAGGGAAAAGTTTATTTTTGTTGTAAAACCACCTGCAATACCACGTAACAGGCGGTGTAACAGGCTGGCCTCCCTGATTCTCTTGTAAATGTTGAGGTCATTCATGGTGAAGCTGTGTCCTCTTTTTTCCCATGCGTGCATAGCACTAACACAGTGCCTAGCTCACAGGAGATGCTCAGTTAATATTTACTGAAGGACTACATTCATTCATTCGTTTTGAGACAGGGTCTCACTGTGCAGCCCTGGCTGTCCTAGAACTCACTATGTAGATCAGGATGGCCTTGAACTCACAGAGATCTGCCTGCCTCTGCCTCCCGAGTGCTGGGATATAAAGCATGTGCTATCACTCCTGACAAGACTGCATTTTTAAAAAAAAAAACAATTCAGGCTTTTAGAAAAGAACATTTGCAAGAAGGAAAACACCCTGAGGGTTAAATCTCTAAGATTTGATTTTTAAGGGTTACATATCTTGACATTTAAGGGTTAGTCATGCTAGAGACTTAAAATTATTGCTTTATAACAGAGACTACATTTTTACTAACAAATCCGTGAAGGAATGGATGACTGTGTCTGCTGTTCATACCATTCGGTCACTCCTTCATTTAACTGTTTGGAAAATATCCGATCAGTGGTTTTCTTAACCTGAGGAAGGATAAAAACATCTAGAGCCGGGCGGTGGTGGCGCACGCCTTTAATCCCAGCACTCAGGAGGCAGAGCCAGGCGGATCTCTGTGAGTTCGAGGCCAGTCTGGGCTACCAAGTGAGTTCCAGGAGAGGCGCAAAGCTACACAGAGAAACCCTATCTCGAAAAACCAAAAAAAAAAAAACAAAACAAAAAACATCTAGAATGATTCAAAACTAAGCCTATTCTTTAAAAAAAAAAAAAAAGATTTATTTATTTATATACTATGTATATGAGTGCACTGTCTACATGTACATCTTGTAAGTCAGAAGAGGGCATTAGATCCCATCATAGATGGTTGTAAGCCACCATGTAGTTGCTGGGAATTGAACTCAGGACCTCTGGAAGAGTAGCCAGCTCTTACTCAATGATCCATCTCTCCAGCCCACTAAACCTGTTTTGAGTCCCTTCCATTTTATCTCATTATATTTCAGTGATTATTCTTTACATATTGTTATGTTCTTAACTATACTTACTTTTCAAGGTCCCTGTATTGTCCTGAGGCAACAGTCTGCTGTCTCTACCTTGGCCATGAAAGTAGCAAAACTAATCTTTGTTAATGGTAGTACCAACACTTATATCTGCTTATTACAAAAGGAATTGGTGTTTTAGAGTCAGGCCATACAGTACTGTAATTTCTGTATTATAAGAGTGCTCAAAAATATGTCGAATGTGAGTTAAAAATGAGTCATTCAGAAATGCCTAATCTTTTCTCTGAAAATGATAGGTTTATATTTATATTTTTTTTAATATTTTTAACTTTGTTACTGAAGGTTTTCCTATCACCCTTTTATCTCCAAGTGTATGTTTTCCAGAGAACTATGAGTTTTAGCCCCTGATATGGGTGGGAAAATTAGTGTTAGAGTAAGTGTTTAGATGTGGAACTCATTTTATCATGGAGGAATTAAAATTTACATTTTGTATTACACTTTACGGTAAGGCAGTAATTATTTACTTGTTCCCCATGTTGCCTTTATTCAAAGGAATGAATGAAATACACATTCAGAAGCTTTTCTCATTCTCTTGAACAACACAAAGTGAAAAAGTAATAATAATGGTGCAGAAGGTGTAACAGCTTTTTCCTGTAATACGCAGGTAACTCTCCTCCTAACAGTATTTGGTGAAGATGATCAATCTCAGGATGTTGTAAGATTGCGTCAAGATGTTAATGATTATAACCGGAGATTCTCAGGGCAGCCTAGATCTGTAAGTAATGGTGTAGCAGGTGCAAAGTCAGAGAGCCTTTATACTTCTTTTTGTAAAGTCAGATTTACAACCACTCTTAGACGATACAAAGTCTTATGCGTTTTGGACCAAGTTTCAACCATCATTGCCAGTCCCTGAGTTAGAGTGTTTATTTTTGAGACAGAGCCTCACTATGTAGCCCTGGCTTGTCTGGAACTTGATATATATATATCTAGTCTGGCCTTGAAATCACACAGGTCTACTTGCCTCTGCCTCTCAAGTGCTGGGATTAAAAGCATGTGCCACCATGCTCATTCCTTTCCTGGTTTTGACCTAGCATTAAAAAAGTTGTATTTTTGTATATGTATGCGTGCTTGCATGTGTGTATGTGCACCACATGCATGTAGGTGTCCGTGGAGGCCTAAGAGGACATTAGTACCCTGGAACTGGAATGGTGATTGTGAGCCACCCAGTGCGGGTGTTGGTTACTGAACCTAGGTCCTCCACAATGGTAATAAGTGCTCCTAACCTCTGAGCCGTCTCTCCAGCCCCACGTTATTTTATTTGTTCTACACATATCCTCTAGGGACACCTCTGCCCTGCATATGTGTGCACACGCACCTTCGTGTGTTTTTAATGTAAAGTACTTATCCAGGCCTTGTGGAGCAGACGCGTAATCCCAGATATTTGGGAGGCTGAGGCAGGAGGATCCCAAATTCAAGGTGAGCCTTAGCAACTTGATGAGATGCTCCCTGAATAAAACGTTAAAAAGAGATCTAGGGATATAACTCAGAGTAGAACACTTGCTTATCAAGGCCCTCGGTTCAATCCCCAGTGTTACAGAACTGTGTATAGTCTGGCCTTTTATTACTTACTTATTATTACAAAGGCCTACCAAGGCCTTGGGTTCAATCCCCAGTGTTACAGAACTGTATATAGTTTGGCCTTGTATTGCTTATTTATTATTACAAAGGCCTTTTCTGTACAACATCTTTAGTAATTCTTCTGAAATTAAATACTCAATTATTGTTAAATTATGTCTAGTGTCTAGTGTGTTAGAAAGTTGTAACCCAAGGTCACCTCATCTGATAATTGATTGCTTTTGAATCCAGCCCAGATACATCTTGATAGTACATCTGGCACTTGGGAACAAATCTCAGACTATAAGCCTATATAATAAGTTTTCTTTTTTTGAGACAGGGTCTCATTCTGCAGCCTAGGCTGGTGTTTGAGCTATTGTTGATTCTCCTGCTTCCCCACCTCCTGATGCTGGGAATTACAGTGTCAACTACCGTTCCTGCCTGTGGTTTCTTGTTAAGTCAGATTACTGATAGCTTGAGTTTGGCATGAGTTTAGACTTAGAACCACTTATCCGAGTTTTCAGATATTTCAGAGTATTTGCATGGACTTTTACAAATAGAGCCTCCCAGATCTGAAAATCGTAAAATCATAAATTTGACATTCTGAAATCCAAAACCTTTTGCCTCCAGTTTTAGACTTTATAGCCTTTTATCTTTCAGAACACATCAAAATTATGTAGCATATAAAGTATCAGACTTTCAGATAGCATGTACTCAATCTATATCCCACATTTTAAGGATTTTGGTACTTTATTATTTTTTAGTTGTCTATAATAAAACCTGTTTTGTAAGAATCTACTAACTAAACTATTTTTAAGTAAAATGCATAATTGGAAGGTCTGGTATTAAGTGTGCGGAACACCTTAATTCATCTTAGCTGAATTTGTACATTGTACAAAAATTTTATTACTTTTTAATTTGATATATTAGATGTTAAATCGTAGTACTTGTTTTTCCTCCTTCAGATTATGGAAAGAATCATGGATCTCCCCACCTTGCTGAGACATGCATTCAGGGAAGTGTTTTCAGTTGGGGGTCTCTTCTGGATGTTCCGAATTAGGATAATGCTTTGTTTAATGGGAGCTTTTTTCTATCTAATATCGCCTCTAGATTTTGTACCTGAAGCCTTGTTTGGAATTCTGGGCTTTCTAGATGACTTCTTTGTTATCTTTTTGTTGCTTATCTACATCTCTATTATGTACCGAGAAGTGATAACCCAAAGACTAGCTAGATGAGAAAAATTAGTTTACTAGAATATCTGAGCTTATATAAAAAATCCAATAAAAGGATCCATGGCAGTATCCATCATCCAACTATTTTACAAGCTTAAAGCTTTGGGTTATCATTTGACAAATGCCTAACAATATACAACTGGAATTTTTACATAATACAGGTTCTAATGTTAAGATGAGATTATAGTGATCTACAGCTTTATCTCAATTCTGTGTGTCTGTAAAAAAATATGGAACCAATTGAAAAAGGATATTTTGTGGTTTCTTTTTCTCCAAATTACTTAGCTAAATTAGATACATAGTCCAATATTGCTAAATGTACAAATCATCCTCCTCGGTGGGTACCCATACAATAATAGAGAATATTTTTGTTAACGTCAAATATTGTATGATACTAGGGAAAAGTCAGTGTCTCCGTGTTTCCTAAGCTTTGTGGACCTGGAGCAGCTCTGCTTTTTCATTTTTGTCTAATTCTTTGTGATCAGCTGAAAATGAAAGAAACCTGAACTTCATGATTTGACTATATTTCAGTCTATGAAACACTTTAATCAGCAGGAGAATTAACAAAGTCAAAAACGTGCATTTCCAGGAGGCACTTTTGACATTCAGTTGTGACATTTAACCAAGAGTTGGCCTTTTTTTTTTTGGTTTTTCGAGACAGGGTTTCTCTGTGTAGCTTTGCGCCTTTCCTGGAACTCACTTGGTAACCCAGACTGGCCTCGAACTCACAGAGATCCGCCTGGCTCTGCCTCCTGAGTGCTGGGATTAAAAGCGTGTGCCACCACCGCCCGGCAAGAGTTGGCCTTTTTATAGAAACAAATATTAAAGTAACTTGTAGCCAGTTGTGATGGCTTTATACTTGTAATTCTGCATTCAGGAAGCTGAGGTAGGAGATTGCCGCAAGTTCAAGTTCTGCCTGGGCTATATAATGAGTTCCAGGTCAACTTGAGCTTTAGAGTAAGGTCCTGCTCAAACCAAAAGCAAGGCTGTGGGTAAAGGTGCTTGCTGTCAAACTTGACACCCCAGGTTCGAACCCTGGGTCTCACATAGTGGAAGGAGAGAAGAGACCCTACACGTTGTCCTCTGACCTTCACGTGTGCACGGTGGCTCCTATGTGTGCACACACACAGTAAATAAAAGCAACTAAAGAGAAAACATCAAAGCAGCTTGTAAAGGGAACTTGTTTTGTTTTAGGAACCTAAGTAATATTGCAAACACTTAGTAGTTTGACACATTTTTGAGGAAACAGGATCTTCACTTCTCTTGGTGTTAGGGGCTTTGGGAAGGTAGTAAGAACAGTGTTTATATTTTACAAAGTATGAGTTAACTCTTGCAGCAAAATGAAGACGTTTGATTAGTTGTCTGTTGCCCTGAAAATGCAAATACTATCTTGTAGGTGGCAGTATTTGACTCAGATTCATCATGTCTTGGGCAGAATGAGGAAATGTGTAGGAGATAACTATATAGTGAGGTTCACTTGTTTTTTGATGGTCATGATACAGAATGTAAGGCCTGTGATTCTTTTAAGCGTGAGATCCTCATTTCAGCTGACACTGCTTACCGGTGAGCAGCTGACAGGAGCGTGTAAGATGATGCCCAGAGATACTTTGTCATCTGAAATTATCATTGTCATCGTAGTCAGCATCAGTGTGTGTATTTAGGAACAGGACATAAAGCTAAAATCTGTCACATTCCCAAATTAATCAAATTAGCTGCCACATAATGAGATTCTGAATGAAATGTCAATTTGTTTCCTAATTTAGACTTAAGAGAGCTGTTGTCTGCCATTAGAAACAAAATACCAAAAAACAGCACTTAGATATAACATGATCAATGCAATTTCTCATACTTTTTCCTCTTATCTGTAGGGAATTTTCTAAGCAAGGTAGGGTGTCATCAGCTTCCTGTTTCAGAGATGAAATCTTCATCCTGTGGATGAAAAATTTTTGTTTTATTTCCTAACATATAATGGAACTAGTGATATTTAGATAGACATGAAAGCTAGTTTGAGGAGAACCTGGAATTCTTTGGAAGTCAAGTTTTCATAATTATTCCTTCACTGGAACAGTTTTGGTGCTTCTGAACAGAAAGCTCAAGAAGGAAGATTCGCCTATGGCTTCATCAATCTTGAGTGTATACTTCCAAATCAAGTAAGAGTGGCATGCACCATAGAAAAACATGGCCACTCATCACTAACTTGGAAAGCTGTTAAATAGTAGGAGCTTGTTACCAGACTGGAAAACATTTTTTTTTCCTTTTAAAATACCGTTTAAAAATTCAGTGTGGGCTACCGACAGTGTGATTTTCTGAAATGGTTTTATTTACTGGCGTTCTTTTCCAGATGTCAGTTCTGTAATATTTGGAGTTACTACTAATACCTGGGAAGGGGTGTACTGTACAAAACCACTGTGTGACTGAAGTCTTCCTAAACCAAAAGGGAACATACTGATATATCAGAATCTTATACCTCCCACTCCCTCATCTTTACTGATCATTAGAGATAAATGCAAAATCAGTTTGAAGTATTTAAGCAAGTACAGTCAATCAGTGTTTTAAATATCACAGTGATACTTCTGTGCTCAGAGGTCATGAGAAGCAGCAATTTGATTTTTTAAACAAAACATAGTCACAAAAGAGATGGTGTAAGCCCAGAACAGACAACAGTCTGAGCAGCTCTCTGGGGAATGAGAAGGAAACTTAGGTTAACAGCTCACTAGAACAGGGGTTCGACCGCCTGCCATCCTCAGTGGTCCACAGGACAGCAGACTGTTCCTGAGCCCCGCGGCTGTGTAGATGCCTACCTCAGTCTGCAGAAAGTCAGAGGCTTCTCTCAAATTTGTGATGTGGAGTTTGTTCAGAGTTTATTCTTTGGAATAAAAATAGTGTATCTAAAAATTTTAAGGTGTTATGTTTATTTCTTTGTTTACTTTAAAATTTACAACTCTTCAAAGACCACAGTCACAGTAGCTTTTAAAACATGTTGCATATTAATATTTTACTCTTTACAATATTCCATACATTGTACACATTTGTTTTTGTACATATAAATTCCTTTATAGATCTGTGTCCAAAATAATATCCACTTTATTGTAATTTATTTACTCAGTGCTAATTTTGGCTATACATATTTTTTATTTATGCTGCAGCTCAACTCAGTATTAATGATGAACTACAGGAGGGGAATTTTCCCTTTCTCATTTTTATAGGGTAGAATGTGATGTTTTTACACATTTGTACGTGATCAACTTAGGCTGTGAACATTCCCATCACCTGAATCCACAAAGTCTAGGTCCAGTGTGAGCACAGGAGAGACCAGGGACTGAAGAGATGGATCAGTGGTTAAGAACACTGGCTACTTTTCTTCCTGCCTTTATTGTCTAAGTGCTGTGATTACAAGCATGGACACCATGTCTAGTTTGTGGTTTGCTAGGGATTGAACTTGGGGCCTTTCTGCACGTTAAGCAAACACACCAACACCTGAGCGAGCTATATCCCTAGACCTTGTTTAGTTATACTTTTTTTTATATCATAGTGTTCCCAGAGGTCAGAGGACAACTTTCAGGAGTTGGTTCTGTCTTTCTACCATGTGAGTTCCAGGGATTGAACTCAGGTCGTCATGCTTGGCAGCCCTTATGTATATATGCCATCTTGCCAGCCCTGGATTTGTTTTCCTTTTTAAGACAGGGTCTCAATACATAGCCCTGGCTAGTTTTGATTTTACAGAGAAATGCCTGACCCTGCCTCTTAAGTGCTGTAATCAAAGGTGTGTGTCACAACACCTGGCCTCTGTTTATGTATTCTTTTGTTGTTTTGTTTTTTGAGACAGGGTTTCTCTGTGTGGCTTTGGAGCCTGTCCTGGATCTCACACAGCCCAACCTGGCCTTGAACTCACAGAGATCCGCCTGCCTCTGCCTCCCAGTGCTGGGATTAAAGGCATGCACCACCACTGCCCAGCTGTTTATATATTCTTAAATTAAAAAAAAAAAAACCTGTGTTTTTAAAGAAAGCAAATTAATTTGGCAATCTGTTAATTCTGGATACAAAAGGTTGAAGTTACCTCAATGTCTCTTTCTTTGTTCAGAGATTTCATCAAGGAGCCCTGTTAGCGTAAGTAAACCAGGCTGGTCTAAAACTCGTGGTGACCTTTCTGGGATTGCAGGGGTGAACCACTGTACCCAGTTCTTAAACAGTATCTCTTTAGAATTGGCCTTGGCTGACCACTCATTCCTCAGGCTAACACACATCTTGCATTAAAGTTTTGCTGACCCAATTTCAGTTTGTCTTTCTATTCAGAAAGTCTTTCTCTCCTCTCTCCTGGCTAACTCAACTTTGAGAACAGTTTAATCTTCAAAATGAAGCCTTTAAAGACAATCGATGCATATGCAGCATTAGACATAATACAAGATCCTGTGTATAATTTACCTAGTTTCATCCAGTGGTACAGTACAGTCATTGGTATTAGCGACTAGAATCAGAACCAAGATACTGATTCTGTTACAGTCAAGACTTCTGTAGGAGAGTTTTATCTCCGCAAGGATTCTTCATACCCCTTTTCACTCACACTTTTCCTCCCCGATAACCTTGTTTGTTTTCTTGATTTTTTTTTTTTTTGAGATAAGGTTTCTCTGAATAGCCCTGGCTGCCCTAGAACTCACATTGTAGACCAGGCTGGCCTAGTGCTGGGATTAAAGGTGTGAGCCACCACTGCTTGACCCCATAACCTTAACTGCAGGAAACCACTAATGTGCTCTCCTTTCTATAATTTTGTCATTTTCAAGAATAATACTTGGGCATAGTGGTACCTACCTTTAATCCCAGCATTCAGGAGGCAGAGGCAGGAGGATTTCTGAGTTCAAGGCCATCCTGGTCTGTGGGATGTCCTTCTGTATGCTGTGAATGTGTGTTGCTCTCATTGTTAATAATAAAGCTGATTGGCTGATAGGCAGGAAGTATGAGTAAGACAACCAAACTAAGGAAGGGAAGAGAGCTGCAGAGTCACGCAGCCGCCAGCTAGCTGCCGAGGAAGCAAGATGTGTAGAAAAATGAGGTAACAAGCCATGAACTACATGGCAAAGTATAGATGAGAAATATGGGTTAATTTAAGAGTAAGAGCTAGTTAGTAATAAGCCTGAGCTACCAGCTGATCATTTTAATTAAGCCTCTGAGTGGTTATTCAGGAACCATCCATTTACACTGGTCTACATAATGTGTTCTGGGATGGCTAGAGGTAGAGTCTGGGGGCTAAGGAAGTTGTTACAAAAATACATAATTTGCAACCTTTTGAGTATTTTAACATGCATCGTGATTTGAACTATCCATGTTGGGTAGGCCAATAGTTCATTCTTTTACTATTAGTATTCTGTAGACCATGGTTTGCTTAACCATTAGTCCACTAAAGTAATCTGGATTGTGCAGGCTAGGTGGCAAGTGCTTTAGCTTGCTGAGCCATCTTGCTGGATCCAACACGTTTTAAGGTCACTGGCATCTAATAATTTGGATGTTAATTGGCTTGTTTATTGTGCTTGGAGTCAGACCCAGGGGCTTGTCTATATCAGGCAAGCATTGGACTACATCCCCAGCCCATTTAGTTTGTTTTGCATGAGACAGGGTCTCACTGTGTATCCTTAGCTGGCTTGGAACTTGCTGTGTGTACCAGGCAGGCCTAAATTCAGAGATCTGTCTGCCTCTCTTTGCCTCCTGAGTGCTGGGATTAAAGGCATGCATCACCACATCTGGCAACATTCTTAAGGTTACTATAAACAAATATATAAAGAAAACAAGGTAGAGTGTAGACTTAAACAAGCTTGTACTTTATTACTCACTGCCTGGCTTTCTCTTGTGTGTTTCAATTGTATGTTGGGTAATGCATTTTGATTTTGCACCCCCATGTTGGCAGTAGCATCCCTTGCCCTACCCCAGTTCCAATGTATGATGAATGTGTTCTATACTTCACCATTTTGTTAAACTATTGTCCATAAACCTGGGACTCAGCTGTGGAGAAACAAGAGGTACTAAGGCTCTCAGACCAATGGTTCTCAACCTGTGGGTTGAGACCCGAGTGTTAACCCTTTCACAGGTCACCTGAGACCATCAGAAAACACAAATATTTATATTACAATTCATAACAGTAGTGAAATTACAAAATAATTTTATGGTTGTGGACACAACATGAGGAATTGTATTTAAAGGTCGGGCATTAGGAAGGTTGAGGACCACTGCTCTGAGACACTAAGACTTAAGAAATCTCCAGTGTCGTGTCAATAAACTTTGAGGCCTGCCAGCAGGGACCTAAACCATTTCATGGCATTAATATTAGCTGTAAGCATTCAATCTTTGACCTTAAGTAAACTTGGGTCTTATCAGTCACTGTCTGCATCTTCTGATATATTCCATATCCCAAAATGAGAGAGTGGGTGTACCATGAGGAAACATGCCATCTAGTTCAGCTTCGGTGGTACATGCTTAGAATCCCATCACTCTGGAGGTAGAGGCAGGAGGATCATTCCAAGTTTGAGGCCAGTCTGGGCTATAAAGTGAGCCCTTGACTCAAAACACAAACTAATTATCTGTTCAAAGTCCCTTATAGTGCAAGCTTTATTCTTTGAGACTATGGGACTATAGTCTTTTTTTTTTTTTTTCCTCACTATTTTTGAGATGGGATCTTGTTTAGTCTTTCTGGCCTCAAGCTCACCTAGGTAGGTGGTATTGGATAGCTGATTCTCTTAGCTCCTAAGAGCTGGGATTTCAGGTCTGTACCATCATGTTTGGCTTTCTCAGAGTAGTCTTTTAGAGGATATATACCATGATGTAGTAAAGGATTACGGAACAGATGGAGGAAAAAAATGTGTCTATGCTGTTCCAGGCATGCCACTGCACTTGGGATCAGAGGATGAATTACAAGTCATTTCTTCCTCCTACAGTGTGGGATCTGGAGATTGAATTAAGGTCATCAGGCTAGGTGGCAAGTGTCTTTAACTTGCTGAGCCATCTTCCTGACTCCCTCAGATGGTTTAAGGTCACTGACATCTAATAATTTGGACTTTAATTAGCTCATTTATTATGCTTGGAATCAAACCTAGGGCCTTGTTTGTACTAGGCAAGCATTGGACGACATCCCTAACCCAATTAGTTTAAAAACACAATTTAAAGGGAAAAAATAGCGTTCAGAAAAATAGTCACCTTTGGCAGCCGCACCGCAGAAAGAATAGGACTTACGCTAAGCTATACAAGTGTGGCCTTCTTGTAAACTACTGACACTAAATTGTCGGTTAAGAGAGTCTGGATGTCTTACCAGTGGCCAATATAAAATGCCAGGCTGACCTTTTTTCTTTTCTGTATTTTTAGTGGTACAGTGCTGAAGATCAAGGCCAAGGCCTGTGCAGTTAGGCAAGTACTCTACCTTGGAGCCTAGACCAACATCTGACATGTAATAACTTTTGTTTATATGGTTTGGAATGCATGCCAGGGTCATTTGGTAGGCAAAATGGCAGTTAAAACCAAAGTGGCTATTGGCAGTCATGCTGGATCCTTAAAATATAACACTGTACATGTATGTTTGTATATAAAGTGAGCACTAATTTCTGGGGATTCAAAACCTATTTGTGAATCCCACATTAAAGCTTTTTTTAAAAACTTAGTACTACAGCTTTTTTGTTTGTTTGTTTGGTTTGGTTTGGTTTGGTTTTTCGAGACAGGGTTTCTCCAGGTAGTTTTGGTGCCTGTCTTGGATCTTGTCTGTAGACCAGGCTGGCCTTGAACTCAGAGATCCTTCAGGCTCTGCCTCCTGAGTGCTGAGATTAAAGGTGTACACCACCACTGCCCAGCAGTACTACAGCTTTTTTCTCACACATTGAAAGTACGGTCTAGCCGAGCGGTGGTGGTAGTGGTGCTCGCCTTTAATCCCAGCACTCAGGAGGCAGAGGCAGGCAGATCTTTGTTAGTTTGAGGCCAGCTTGGGCTACCAAATGAGTTCCAGGAAAGGCGCAAAGCTACACAGAGAAACCCTGTCTCGAAAAACAAACAAACAAACAAAAAAAACAAAAGAAAAAAAGAAAGTACAGTCTAAAAAGCCTGAATGCTGTATCAAAAATATAGACTGGAGATATGGCTCAGTCATCAAGAGTGATTACTGCAGTGAAGAGGATGCAGGTTCCTACTATCTACACAGTGGTTCCCAATGGTCTGTCACTCTTTCCAAGGGATCTGATGCTTTCTGGCTTCCTTGGGCTCCTGTGTGCACATGTACACATAAACTCATGAACACTCCCATGTGTGTACATAAATACATAGGAGACACACACACACACACACACACATCATTGGGGTGCTTTAGCCCAAGGTGAAAGTGCCAACACATGTGGGTTCTGGTAATGGCCTGCTCATCGCTGTATCCTCACATGAGTGAGAGATCTCTCCTGTCTTTTCAAGGGCCCTAATCTCATTTGTGAGGACTCTCCCCATGGTCTTATTTCCATCCCACCTCTGCCTGCTACAGGAGAGATTAGGCTTCAACGTGGGGACCTGGGGAAGGCAGTTTGCAGCGGTTTTGTAGGAAACAGAGGACTCGTTTTTCTCTTGTAAATTATAGACATCCTCGTATGTCTATAACTGACAAATGGTGCATTATTAAAGTGTATTTCACATGCAATCTTTTTATGTGTTTGTATTCTTCAAGCATTTCCTTCCTTTAAAAAAATTTTGTTTTTGTTTTTTGAGACAAGCCTTCTCTATGTATCCCTGGCTGTGCTCTGTAGATCAGGCTGGCCTCAAACACAGAGTTTCATCTTCTTCTGCCTTCCAAGTGCTGGGATTAAAGATGTGCATCACCATCGTTGGGCATAATTTCATACATGTAAAAACATTTTTGAGACAGTGTCTTACTATGTACACTGGCCTTAACCTCACAGTCCCTTCTTTTATAGGGATCACCACCACCACCCACTGCCGATTAAAATTTAGCTTTTTCATTTTTCCTTAAATGGTGTTCTATCAGTAAATGGAGTTCTTGGCCTCTCAAGACATTACAGTGAGAATTAACACTCTTGTTCCTATTAATCTCTTTCCCTTGAATGGCCAGATGTTACAGCCAAGGTTTAACCTTTGATATTTACTGAAAAGTCAATGAAGAGACTGTAGCTAAAGTTTTCCTGCCTGGCCCACAGTCAGGACAAATCTCTCTCACCTGCCAGTCCCACAGCCTCTCAGACCCAGCCAAGTAAACACAGAGACTTATATTGGTTACATATTGGTATGAGTATATAAACATTTATTGTTCCTTCAAGAAAAGAGCAGGCTTGCACTTTTGTATAGCCCTATTTAATAAGCTTTTAGAAGTAAAATAAACACCAAAAATTGTATAAACTATATTATCACTGGGGTCTTGGTCTGGGTTCACTTCAGCTACCTATCCCTTTCATCTTTGTTCCCCCCCCAACTTCCGCCCCCCCCCAAAAAAAAAACTGAGATGAGACACACAGTAGATTAAAAATAGGTGTTTTATTGCTGAGTACTTTTTAGAGTAAAGCAGAGCAGTCTCAAGAGGTTGAGAGTGTACAATGACCAAAGGGACCATTGTACTGATCTATATTTCAGGTAAGATGCATTCCATTTCTAAAACAAAACAGTTTTCAGAGGGTGTGTCTTGTGTAGCTGGTTGACAGGCCCGCTGGTTTGACTCTTACATGACAGCAGTGTTACATCTTCGTTCTTCATCAGAAAGCCATTTAAGATGTAAGACTCCTGGAGCCAGGTTGCTTTAATTATATATTAATAACCTCACAGGCAGACCAGCATGTCACATCTCTCAGGGCCAGAGATAGGACTCAGGTCCCATTCTTCTGGCCAGTAACTGATCTTGCAGATCCAGCCTTTGGTTTTCAGTCTGTTGATTATTAAGGGAAAGGTCCAGCTCCAGTTTTATCAAGCCTGTTTATCTAGCTATACAGCACTGTCAATGAGTTATACACAAACTGGCCAGCATCCTACTAATCACATCTTTCCTCTGAAGTAACCACTCCTGACTATAGTTTCATCTACATAGTTTTCAAACATACATATTATTTTCTTTTTTGTCTGACTTCTTCCACATTATGTGTGTAGGAATAATCCATTGTGGGTTCTGGCATTTTTATGGGGTCTTAGAATTCAGGCTGATCTTGAACTTGATAGACATCGATGACCTTCAACTTTTGATCCTCCTGTCTCTTACCTCCTGAGTGCTAGGATTCCCAGTGTGTGTCGTCATGCCCATTTTAAGTGCATGCAAGGTAAAGCACTGCCAACTGAGCTCCATGGTCAGCCCAGAGCTTCATTACTTTTGAGTGCTACTGATGGTGGGCTATGCCATTTTTATTCATTGAACTGTTAATGGACATTTGGTTTATTTTCACCAACCCTTTCAAAATGGTGGGACGTAGATGTGATGGCGTGTGCCTTCAATTGGGAGGCAGAAGATCTCTCTTAAGGCTAGCCTAGTCTATATGACAATTCCAGGTCAGCCAGGAATACAAAGTGAGCAGTTTCAAAAAAGCTAGAATGTTGGGGCTGGAGAGGTGGCTCAGAGGTTAAGAGCACTGCTTGCTCTTCCAAAGGTCCTGAGTTCAATTCCCAGCAACCACATGGTGGCTTACGACCATCTGTAATGAGATCTGGTGCCCTCTTCTGGCCTGCAGAGATACATGCAGACAGAGCACTGTATACATAATAAATAAATAAATCTTTAAAAAAAAAAAACAAAAAAGCTAGAATGTCATCTTAAAAAGTGCAAAGTGGGGCTGGAGGTGTAGCTCAATTGGTAGAATGCTTCCCTAGAATCCATGAAGCCTTGGGTTGAACCCCTAGCACCACAAATTGGTGAGATTATAGGTGTGATTCCAGCACACAGGAAGTAGAGGAGGGCAGATTATGAGTTCATGGTCATCCTTAGCTATATCAAATAACATGAGGTATGTGAGACTCTGGAAGGAAAAAAAAAGGGAAAATACTTCCCTGCCTTACCCTTTGATAAGTAACAACTGTTATTCCAACCTCAGGAAATATTAAGAAATGTCAAATAAAAAACAGGCAAAACAGTCAAGGAGTATGTTTAAAAGGTGAAAGTTATTTTTCTATTAAGCCAATAAATTTGCAGATAACAGTAAAAATTTAGGGTGGAAGATATTTTATTTAGAAAATTATAATGTGTTTAGTTCAACAGGTTTATTTTTAAAATTATATGCAATTTACCAAATCTATAACTTACCATTTTGAAATAGAGGCAATTAAGGATTATGTCCAACAAAATAAAAGTATTTCATTTTCAAGTTACGAACAATAAGACAAGACAAAAGAGAATGAATAAGAGAAGAAAATCCAACCATATAACAACCTGACTGGTTTTACATTGAATCAATGACCACAAAACAGGCATCCTAGAGTGATCCTTGTACACTTCTTAGTGGCTTGCAATCTTAAGCACAGAACCAGTGATATAGGAAAGTTGGAGTCCCCTTTTGGGGCTCTTAATCTTATTAACACAAGAATTAAAGAATGTACTCAAATGAAGCTCAAGGAAAGTTTTATTAGAGGTTAAAAGAAAAAACCCAGGGCAGGCAGGTTGTCAAGCTCAGCAGCTGCCTGAATAATAGAGAAGAGGGGGGAAAAGCTGTGCCATTTAAGCTGGCATAAACACACGGTGGACAAGCAAGCCATATGTTGGGGAGGGAAGCTTTAGAGAAAGTAGAGAAGCTTCAAATGTGGGGGGAAATCCCACCTATTAAGGAAAGCATGCTTAGAGAAGGGAGAAAGAAGAAAAATAGGCAGGCTTACTCAACAGCACTAGGGGCAGGGATCTGGCAAGGTTAAGTGCAGAATCTTGTTCTACCTACCCCTTTATCATGTCTTCAGGTGACCCTGCCTTCCTAGGGGTAGGCTGTTGGCTAGGAGATTGACTGATGTGGCCCAATTGGATGGTTAGGTCTTCACCAAAGCTAGATAAGCTATTCTTTGGACCACAAAGTTTTTTTCTTAATGGGCCTTTACTGCATACTAACACCACTTTTAACTTTCTCTTCCAGCATCCTCAGTCCTACAACCTGCCCCCAGTTTAAGTTGTTCCCACCCCTTCCAAGTCTCTACCCTGTTGTGAGTAGATCTCTCGCCTTTGCATTACATACATACATATATCTAATGGTCAAGCCAGTCGTTCAATTTAGAAACCGTGCTCAAACCCCACCCAGTTCTTACAGCCACTCTCACTGAGCTGTAGCTCTTGCACTACAAACATCTTGAATCCTACCACTCTCAGCTTCTCTGCCACCACCTTCCCCCAAGCTACCACCTCTTTGCTCACCAGCAACAGCCTCGTAATTGGTTTGTTTTGAATTGTTGCCCTTCTCCAGCTCTTAAAATAGGTAGAATTACCCTTTAAAAATATTGGTTAATGCTTGAAATGGCTCACTGGTCTCCCATTGAACTTCATCCAAACTAATTACTTGACTTGACTCCTTCAATCTTTACTTGATGTCCTTCTCCTGACTGCGCTCCACCACCACGGCCTGGACCTTTTCTGCTGGCTGTACTTTCAAACACAAGCTGCTGCTGTAACACATTCCTGGTACCTGGAATGCTCCTCCTCACCTTCATTCACTCCATCCTCTTTATCTTTACAGTGGACTACAGAGAGAGATTACCTAGTCTCAGTACCTTTCAAAATGTTAATAGGCCACTATTCTGGTGTTTCTAGTATAGAGCTACTACTCTGAAGCTAATTTAGGTAGTTTCTAGGTCCATTTAATTCAACATTTCCTAAATAATCTGTGAAATACAAACGTGCTGGGGCTACTGGGTTCAGTAAGATGCCGCCTTTAACAGCACCTCAGTTCAGATGAGGCACACAAATACTATAGCATATAATTACTTACAGAACTAAGTACAGAATTGCACAGGGACAAAAAAGGTTGACGCCTTAGCTGGAGAAGGTAAGTAAAGCTTGGCAGAAGAGAACACATAAGATACATCTTAAGGTTAGACAGGATGTCAGGGGATGGGCATCCCAGGTCATCCCAGCCTATTTGAGCAATTATGGAAGTTTGACAAGCAGGGAAAGATGGTGAAGCACAGAAGTACTTGTTCCTTGGGCTGTATAGACCACCACAAACAATTTGGATTTTATTCAGTATAGGGGTACCCCCTGACGTCTATAAGCCTTTAAGCAAGGAGCTGGCAATGTTTCTATGGGGGACAGAAAGCTGGAAACTAGGGCTGACAACGAGTTGCTGGGTAGGAAACTGTGAGGACTTGAACGAGAATGGTGATGAGAGAATAACCGAAAGCTATTCTTTTTATCCCATAAGATTAACCTAAGTCTTGAGGAAGGGGGAAAAAAATCCTAGGAGCAAGCAAGATTGCTCAGCTGTTAAAACACTTGGCACAGGGTGGAAGGAGAGAACCCACTCCCACAAATTGTTCTCTGACCTACATAGGTGTGTATTTCGCCTGCGTATTTATTTGCATGTTCACGACGTGTGTGCCTGGTGCCAATCCCCTGGAGTTACAGATTGTTGTGAGCTGCCATGTGGGTGCTGAGAATTGAACCTGGGTCCTCTCTGCAAGATCAAAAGTGCTCTTAACCGCTGAGTTAAGTCCCTCCCCCCCCCTTTTTTTTTAAATCTCAGTGATACAAAGGTTTTGGGTTTAAGTGGTTGCTGAATACTTAATCCATACACCTGATAACTCGGAAGGCAAGCCCATGTATGTAGAAGTAAGAGCTAGGAAATCATGGTATGTGGGCTCAAGAATTAAAGTGTTGCAGAAATGGCGGGCATTAAATGGATCCCTCAGGGAAGCAATATTTAAGGGGACAGAAAATAGTCTACAAGGGAGAATGCGCTCGACTGAAAACTACAGAGGGGCAAGGACGTAAAACCTCTCCAGCATGAAACTCTGCAGCAGCTCGCAAATTTCAGCACAGCACACGACACTGCTTCTGCTTTCTCAACTGGGAAGGAATGAGCGCTTGTTCTCTACTAGAAGACGGCCACCGGGATTCTGAATCTGATCCCGTTTGTACAAAATTACACCTCTGCGGCCGCTCTTTAAAGAAAAAAACCAAAAACGTGTTGCCAGGAACTAGAGCTTTCCCACGTTTCCTTTAGGTTTCCGAACCCAACAGCAGAAAAACGACGGACAAATGAACCGCACCGACCACTACCACACCAGCTGCTTAAGCATGGCTCCCCAACAAGCGCCCTTTCTTCCGGCCAAAGCGCAGCGGGCCCACCCACTTCCGCACCGGTGGCCACGCCCCAGCGCCTCGCCTAGCCTCAGCCAATGGTCGGCTTCCCTGGGAACGTTACCTTCGGCTAATCAGAGACCACGAGCGCACTCCTCGCGAGAGGTGAGGTTGAAGCTGCCTCCGCCATCTTGAAGATGGGAGACGGGCGAAAGCTGTGGTCTTTCTGCTAAAGCAAACACCACAACGGACAGGGTAGTCACCCCCACAGTGAGGTCATCGTCCCTGTAACTGCTGACCCAAGCCACCGAAAGCAGCGAGCGTGTCGAAGCCGAGCGCAGCGGACCCCGAGAGCCCTCCCCCCCCCCCCCTTCCACCTGCTTCCCGGGCAGAAGGGAAGTGTGGAGGGCCGGAAGGATGGTGCAGTCCTGTTCCGCCTACGGCTGCAAGAACCGGTACGATAAGGACAAGCCCGTCTCTTTCCACAAGTAGGTAACTGGCGTGCTCCGCGGCCGGGGCCAGGGGCGCGCGGGCGGGCGGGCGGGCGGGCGGGCGGAGGCGGAGCTCGGCGCGTGTCCGCGCGAGACCTGGGGAAGGCGGGGCGGCCGGCCGGCCGGCGGGGGCGGGGACCCACGGCTGCGCGGCCCCCGGTGCGCGCCGGCTCCGTGGGCTCGGCTCCGCTGGGGCTGCGAGCGCGCCCTTCTCTCGCTCTCTGGCGGAGGGTTTTCCGGCGTGCGAGCGACGCCTAGAGGCCTCTGGCCGCCCTCCGGATTTCGTCACGAGCCGCGCCGGGGGTGGGGGTGGGGGGGCCGGGGGGGGGGGGGGCGCGGGGAAATGGTCCATAGGGATCCACTTGAAATCCAAACGCTTAGGAGGAAGACAGTTTTCCCGACCTCGCTGTTGTGGGTAGGAGGGAAGCACGACAATTAAGTGTTGACTTTTAGACCCAGGTTCAAAGAACCAACCTTGAAGCGTCTCTGGGTTATAGATCTCTTGCGATTGCTAGGGTGAACCCCAGTCTTCCAAACACACAGCGACGGTAACGAGGACGATAACGTGCACTTTATTCAGTTGCCCCGTAGTAAAGGAGCTAATGGCAGCCCTTCCCGCCGCTGTCAGGGCGGTAGGTACCGCAAACAAGAATCCCAGGGTGAAAAATACTTTCTTGAAAGTATAAGAAAGCTGCAGATTTAACGTTACTAATGATAATTATTAACACTGATAATGGTCCACAAAATGTTACAAGTTTTACATTAGGTTTTGGAAAGAATTCCTGAGTGTATGCAGGAAACTAAGAGATCAGGTTCACTGGTAAATTATACAAGTTATCCATAGCAAAGCAATTACAGAAGCAAATTGCAAAATGTTCTTTCAGGGTTTTTTTTGGGGGGGGGCTGTTTGTGTTTGATAGAAAGTTGAGATTCGTGTGCTGATGTTACTCTTTGGGAAGAGGATAGAATATTTCCTAGAACTACTTCTTGGTTGATTAGAATTTCTGAAATTTCATACATCTTCAAACTGTAGGAATAGAATAGGAAATGGTGACAGAAACATGCGTTCAACTTGCCCCTTCCCTTCCCTATGCTCTGTTAGGGTGGCAGGGGGAAATCTTAAAAGTTGAACAGTGCCGGGCGGTGGTGGCGCACGCCTTTAATCCCAGCACTCGGGAGGCAGAGCCAGGCGGATCTCTGTGAGTTCCAGGCCAGCCTAGTCTACAGAGCAAGTTCCAGGAAAGGCGCAAAGCTACACAGAGAAACCTTGTCTCGAAAAACAAAAACAAAACAAAACAAACAAAAAAGTTGGAGAACAGTTAAAGATGACACACATCAAAGATACTGTTTCAGTTGCTGGATGTTGAAAAATAAAGCAGGACTAACATGCATCTTATCTATTATCTAAAAGAACAGTAAATGGCAGAGATCTTGACAGAGCTAGAATTTGTTCTCCTAGGCTGGGAGACTAGATACTAAGATTTATAAGAAGTCCCCACTGGTTTGTACTTCTTTCTAGGAATACGGTTTTGTTGTTGTTTGTTTTTTTCCAGATTGTATGTAGTGGCAGTGCAAAAAGATGTGCAAAGAATAAGCACTAACATGAAGATTGGTTAGGTGGTGTTGGTTGGTTTTGCTCTTTTGGGGGTCCACCACCCAGCTCCCAAATAAATCACACATACAGAGGCTTATTCTGAATTATGGGTGTCCGGCCTTAGCTTGACTTGTTTTTTTGCCAGCTTTCTTAAATTATCCTGTCTACCTTTTGCCTTTGGGCTTTTCCTGTTCTCTTACTTCTGTAAATCTTACTCTTACTCCATGGCTTGCTGTGTAGCTGGGTGGCTGGCCTCTGGAGTCCTCCTTCCTCCTCCTTCTCTCGCTCCTAGATCTCCCTCTTCCCAGATTTCTCCTTATGTTAATTCTCTCTGCCTGCCAGCCCCCTCCTGCCTCGCTAATTGGCGGTTCAGCTCTTTATTAGACCATCAGGTGTCTAGGCAGGCACAGTAACACAGCTTCACAGAGTTAAACAAATTCAACATAAACAAAAGTTACACACCTTAAAATAATATTCCCCAACAGTTAGGTCTTCGTGAAAAAAGCTTGATCAGGGTCTGGCAGACCTTATGTGGTAGGAAAACTGTGGAGCCTAAATTGAAACATTCTTCTTCTGCTTTTTCCAGTCCCTCCAGCGTGCCACCAAGCCTTTGACATGGAAAAGCATAGTGACAATACATATAAAGGGTCCCCATTACCTAGGCTGAGTTAAGCGATGAGATAAAATATGTCCTTTATTTCTTTATCATTTGTCTGTAATTCAGGCAGTCAGGATTTAGTCTATTTGTATTTATTGGGCTGATTCAGGAAGAGCTAGAATGTATCTCAGGACACAGACATATGTACAACTTTTGTTTTTCTATAAAACACAGAAGTACTAGTAAAAGATGAGTAGAATTGTATTGCACACTGTCTGTTTGACTTGAACTGTTGGTGTCTTCATTGGGAAAAGATAACCCTTCATCGGTGAGATAAGTAACTGGACCTAATCTTCAGTCAGATTCTTCTTAGTGCGTTAACAACAACAGAAGCTGAGAAGCAGGAGCATGTGGGTGCTCTTTATTTATTTTCTTACAGTCAGAGAACTGAATTGTGTCCTCTTAGGTTTCCTCTGACTCGTCCCAGTCTTTGTAAACAGTGGGAGGCAGCTGTTAGAAGAAAAAACTTCAAGCCCACTAAGTACAGCAGTATTTGTTCAGAGCACTTTACTCCAGACTGCTTTAAGAGAGAGTGCAACAACAAGCTACTGAAGGAGAATGCTGTACCCACTATATTTCTTTGTACGGAGCCACATGACAAGGTAAGTCGGGTTTTAAATGTTGGGCTGGTTTTCTTTCCCTTTCTTATCGTTGATTTCTTCCTTGCCTCTCTTCTCTTCCCCTCATATCTCTTGTGTGAGGCAGGGGCTTTCATAGCTTTGTATAGCTGAGGCTGAATTGGAACTCCCCATCCTCATGCCTCTGCCTCCCCAAATCTAGGATCATAAGCACTGGTTTTCGGCTGTACACGATAACATTTATGAAACTAATGTGTTCGTGGTGGGAACTTTGGAAAAATTGGAAGGGTTAAGAAAACAAGTGTGTTTGAAACCCATTGTTAACAGTAACCACTGTTGGGGCTCAGTGGTTAAGAGTGTGTATTACTCTTCCAGAGGACCTGAGTTTGATTCCCAGCACCCAGTCAGGTGGCTCACAATTCCTGGAACTCCAGCTTCAGGAGATCTAATATCTCTGGCCTCCACATGCACCTCCACTTCCACCCCCACTGCAGACACTCACACAGACACACACATATATGTGCACGTGATTAAAAAGAAATCTTTTTAAAGAAAACATAAAAATAACCACTATTGACAATAATACACTTTTTAAAAACATAGAGTTCTATGTATTGAATATCTCACACTAAGAACTCAGTCTAGTTTTGTAAGTTAAAGATAGTTCTATTTCTTTATTTACATGTTGATAAGTTTTGTTTTTCATTCCTAGTGACAGTTTATTTTCAAATGGTTTTTCTCCTGTTTTAGGTGTTTAGTATTTACTTATATCTAACTAAATCACTTTATCCATTTCACAAATCCCACTTGGACTTCAAATAGAAAAGTGGCATTAGGACTGAAAATGCCCCGTGGTGGCACACACCTGCAATCCGAGCACTGGGGAGGACAGCCGATGAGGATTGCCACAGGTTTGAAGCTAGCTTGGTACAAACATAGTAAGTTCCAGGCCAGCCTGGATTATACAGTAAGGGCCGCCACCACCACCCCAAAACAAAAACAGAAAAGAAAAACCCACCGCAAACTGATGCCAGACAGAGTTACATATTCTTGTTATCCTAGAACTTGGGAGGTAGAGGCAGGAGGAGCTCAAGTGTGAGTCCAGCCTAGGCTACACAGCAGGACCCTGTTTTTTAAAAATCCCCAAACAAGCCAAAACCTAATGTTGAAATGTTTAGCCTGGAAGATATAGCTTTAGTGATAAAAAGCTTTGAAGTCCTGGCACCCTGGACTCCATGCCAGTGTTGTAAAAATCACCTCCAAGATAATCTGTTTTCTCATTCTGGAATTTTTTGGTACCATGGAGTGACAAAAAAAGTCTAATGCTAAAACTGTACAGGTATTTTGAGGCCATTATTTCGTTACTAAACTCACATATGCTTGTGTATTGCTGTTTTAGAAGGAAGACCTGGAACCCCAAGAACAGCTTCCCTCTCCTCCTTCACCCCCCACTTCCCAGGTTGATGCCGCTATCGGGCTGCTGATGCCTCCTCTCCAGACGCCTGATAACCTCTCGGTGTTCTGTGACCACAATTACACTGTGGAGGACACAATGCACCAGAGGAAGAGGATTCACCAGCTGGAGCAGCAGGTGGAAAAACTCAGGAAGAAACTCAAGACTGCCCAGCAGCGATGCCGGAGGCAGGAGAGACAGCTGGAGAAGCTCAAGGAGGTTGTGCATTTCCAGAGAGAGAAAGATGATGCCTCAGAGAGGGGCTATGTAGTTCTCCCACATGACTACTTCGAAATTGTTGAAGTACCAGCATGACGGGACAAGACTACATGCTGTCTTTTAGCCTACACACAGGAGTTCATTTGAAAAACTAGCACTTGATTACTTGTATAAAAAAATCAGAATATTTTTTTAAAATAAAGTAGTTATATACTGTAAAATTGTAATTTTTTTGTTTGTAATTTCAGAGTTTTTACATTTTAACAAAATATTTAAAAAAAAAACCCTTAGACCACCAGTATGATGTTGTATATTGTTTTCAAGATGGTGGATTGTTTTTCATTTGAGTATTTATAGAAATAATGTAAAAATGAAAAGTAGAGAGGATAATGGTTCAGTAAAGATGATTTAAGTTTCAAAGTTAAAATTAATGTCCTTTATTGAGAGAACTTATTTAAATCAGAAGTGTAAGTGAGATCATAGGACAGCCTCTCAGAATATAGAGATGTACATACACATTTGTATTTATAGTCAGAGCTTCATTTATTTTTCTCAATCACTTGTCAAAAATGAAATGTCAAGTCAATATTTGAGGAAAACTATTTTGCTGTCTTCAGAAGAGTCATTCCATATTTAATCACTAACTTCATAAAGTGGATTTTAAAGTAGGTCCTTTTTGTCCATAGCTTTATAAAATTGGAGGTGTGTCTTGGGGAATGAAGGCCTCCAAGAGAGGTATTGCTAGCAGTGAAGTGAAAGTTGGGCTGCTGAGCTGCTCCCCTCGGGGCACTGCTTCTCATGCAAGCCTGGCCACCTGAGTCTAACCCTGGGACCCAAGTAAAGGTGGAGAGAACCACCTCCACAGGGTTGTCTCCAGACCTCCACATGTGTACGTGTGCACACTTTCAGAAAATGAAATTGGGACCTGGTTCCTCATGTGCTCTCATTATCCCCTACCTAAAGGCATTGAATTCTACAGATGTAGTTAATCTGCATTCAAACTTCCAACATTCAAACTTCTAACATAGAGTTTGGTTTGTATCAGAATATGGTAACTTTTCCCTTACCTGTTCAATTTTGGTCAAGCCATTGCATAAAAATTATTTTTTTCACTAAAGTTAGAAATTATATCTAATTTACTTCAAGTGACTTATGTTCAAAAGTAATGTGCTGTGTTTATGTCCAAAAGTGTTGAGACTTAAATATTGCAGTTTCTGTTCATACTGTGGATTGTGTTCTGACTTTGTGAGAAAGCTTACATAAATTTGAAATGAAAAGATGTTCTGAGTAGACAGATATTGATAAAATAATTCTCTATTTAGGTTTAGGAGAAGCATATTTTATATTTCAGAGTACACTGTAGTTGAGGAGTAGCAGACCTTTTAAGACAGTATTAAAGATATGCTATTCAAGTATCGTTTGTGGATCTGCCTTTTCTTTCCGATGTACTGCCATGCTGAGCTAGGTAGCATTTCTAATTCATGGAATTTGGGTAGTTTTATGAACATTTTTTTTTTTTTTTTTTTTTTTTTTTTTTGGTGCTAGGCAAACACTCTACCCCCAAGCTATATCAGAATCTCTCTATTCTTTTTCTTATTATTATTTGTTTTTTTGAGACAGGGTCTCACTATGTAGCTCTGGCTATCCTGGAACTCACTATGTAGACCAGGCTGGCTTCGAACTTACAGAGAGCTACCTGCCTCTGTTTATTGAGTGCTGGGATTTAAGGCATGTACCACCAAGCCTGGCCCACTATTAGTAATTTTTTAAAGATCTATTTTATATGGCTGGAGAGATGTCTCAGTGGTTAAGAACACCTAAAACTGTTTCTGAAGCCCTAAATTGGGTTCCCAGCAACCACATGGCAGCTCACAGCCTCCTTCCTGTAACTCTGGTTCCTGGTGATCTGATGCCCTCTTCTGGCCTCACTGTGCAGACCAGGTTGATCCCTCTACCTCTGCCTCCCAAGTGCTGGGATTAGAGGCATTATCATGCCACCATGTCCGACCCATACGCCCCACCCCCCCTCACCTTTTTTTTGAGACAGTTTGGCTTTTTTTTTTTTTTTTTTTTTTTTTTTTGGTTTTTCGAGACAGGGTTTCTCTGTGTAGCTTTGCGCCTCTCCTGGAACTCACTTGGTAGCCCAGGCTGGCCTCGAACTCACAGAGATCCGCCTGGCTCTGCCTCCCGAGTGCTGGGATTAAAGGCGTGCACCACCACCGCCCGGCCAGTTTGGCTTTTTATCTCTGCCTGGCTTTGAATTAGGTACCCTTGGCTCTCATTGAACTTGTAGCAATCCTGTCTCAGCTTGCCAAATGCCGGGGTTACAAGTGTATATCACTATGCTCCATGTGGATCAGTAGTTTAAAAGTGTAAAATAATTGGGTTATTTACATAGTATATTAACTTCGTTTAGAATCAGCTAAGGGATGGGAGTCTTCACTGGGTACTCACAGAACCCAGCTTCGTGGTAAGCAAAAGAAACAACTCTTACAACAACAAGCTAAATTTGAGTAACCACAGCCCAGGAACATAGATTTAGATCTCTCCAAATACTATTTAATGGTGAGGTAGCAATTTTCATGAACTTTGTAGCAACATAACAAAGCCACAAATCAAGATACTTTCAGATACTTTTGGTACATCAGGTAGGTGGGTTAGAGCAAGAACTGAGAACTTGGCTTGTGGTGGTTTGAAAGAAAATATCTCCCCAAGGGAGTAGCACTATTGGAAGGTATGGCCTTGGAGAAAGTGTGTCACTATGGGCGTGGGCTTTGAGGTCTCTTTTGCTCAAGTTTCCCTCAGTGTGACTGTCAGTTGACTTCCTGTTACCTGCAAGCTGTAGCATCCTCAGCTCCAGCACCACGTCTGCATGACAGCATGCTCCCCATCATGATGATAATGGACTGAACCTCTGAAACTGAGCCCCCCCAAATTAAATGGTTTTTGTTTGTTTTAATAAGAGTTGCAATGGTCATGGTGTCTCCTGACAGCAATAAAAACCCAAACTAAGAAGTTGGTACCAGGGACTGGGGGATTGCTGTGTAGGCCTGACCATACTTTTGTTTGGAGTAAAATGGACTTTGGTACTTTGGGCTAGGAAAGGAGTGGAATGCTTTAAGCACTGTTTAATGGGGTATACTAGTAGGAGCATGTTGGACAATGGTGCTGATAATGATTTGCAATGTCAGGAGCTCGCTCGAGGTTTCAGAGAGGAATTTTAATATGTTGCCTAGAGATCATTCTTGTGATATTTTAGTGAAGAACGTGACTGCCTTTTGCCCTTGTCCAAAGAGTCTGCCTGAGGCTAAAGTGAAGAGTTTCGGATGAATTCTGCTGGCAGAGGAAGTCTCACAACAGCCTAGCATAGACTCTGTCATTTTTTCATTAGTGTTAACTCTAATGAAGATTTGAAACGAAAAGGAACAAGCTGATAAAGGAAAAATACAAAGTGTAAAATTTGAAGAGAAAAGGAGCACCAGGAAGTGGAATGGAGCTAAGTCCTGTGTTTGAAGAGATAAACAGATTAAGAAATGGAATAAAGGGAGTGATGATCTCAGGACAAGATCTCACCCAGCTAAGTTTCCAATTTGTGAAAAGGAATTAAAGAAAAGCTTAGAGTTAGGTGTGGTGGTGTGCACTTTTAATCCTAGCACTGGGGAGGCAGAAACGGTGGATCTCTGAGTTTGAGGCCAGCCTAGTCTACAGAGCAAGTCCCAGAACAGCCAAGCTTAGGCACTGAAGGAAATCATCGAAAACAGAAAGCTTGTGAAGATGTAATTGAAAGATCTCTGAGTTCAAGGCCAGCTTGGTCTACAGATCCAGTTTCAGGACAGCCAAGCTTAATGAAGGAAACCATCAAAAACAGAAAGTTGAAGATGTAATTGAATGAGGGGGCCATGTTCCAGCCCAAGTAAGGAGCAGAGCTTGGCAGCTTCGGCCATGCAGTTCTGGCTTTAGAGTTAAGGATAGAAGAAAGGGGCTGTGGAATTTGCCTCTGAGACTAATGAAAGCCACTGAGGCCAGGCATGTGTCAGGGGTGTCCCTGAGTGGAGGCCCAGAAGAGGCCTTGTGTGAAGCTGTGAAGTTGAATCCTAGATTGCCTTGGAGAACCCAAGATGTTAGAGATGCCAGCGCCGGGGGATACCTGCCGAGAAAAGCTGCTAACAAGGAGTGGAACCAGCCCAAGAGAAAGAAGTATGTTGCAGTCAACAAAGCCGAATAGAGTTGGAGATCTGAAAAGCATTTTGACATTAAACATGGAGATGCAGAGTTTGGAGTTTGCCCAGCTAGTTTTCAGTCTTGCTTTGGTCCAGTATTTCCTCACTATGCTCTCTCCCCTATGTTTTGGAATTCTAATGTATATGCTGTGCTATTATATGTTGGATCTTTTTTTTTTTAATTTTGATTTTACAGGGGATTACAGTTAAGAGAGTGCATGAATCTCAGAAGACTAAACTTTGAACTTTAGCCTTTTAAACATTGTTTAGACAGACTATGGGGACTTTTGCAGTTGGACTAAATGCATTTTGCATTATGATATTGTTACAAGCTTATGGGAGCCAGGGAGTGGAATGTGGTAGTTTTAATATAATTGGCCCCCATAATCTCATAGAGAGTGGCACTATTAGGAGGTGTGGCTTTGTTGGAGTTGGTATGGCCTTGTTGGAGGAAGTGTGTCACTGTGGGGTTAGGCTTTGAGATTTCCTATGCTCAGGATACTACCCAGTGCCTCAGTCAACTTCCTGTTGCCTGGAAGATGTAGGACTCTTAGCTACTTCTCCAGCACCATGTCTGCCTGCATGTCACCATGCCCCACCATAATGATAACAGACTGAACTTCTGAAGTGTAAGTGAGCCACCCCAATTAAATGTTTGTAGTAGGACTTTGTAAGACAGTAGTGTTGAGAAGTATGCATACTGTGGAGGCCCAGCTCAAGAGATTATTTTAGCAACTGGGCTAGAGACCCTTTGTGTGATATTTTGGCAAAAATGTGGTTGCTTTCTAACCATATCCTAAGAAGTGTCTTGAGGCTATATTTAAAAGTAATGGATTTTGGCAGAGGAGACTTTAAAACAGCTGAATGATAACTCTATCATGTGGTTAGTAGTAGTAACTATTATGCAGGTCTACAATGAAAAAGCATAAATGGGGTGAAAAAATACAAAATGTACAGTTTGGGGAGAAAAAGGACACAACAAGCTTAATGTTACAATGAAGGCCTGTGTTGGAAGAGAGTCTGTAATTGTTAAGGAGATTAGTGCCATTAAGAAGAGACCTTGCCAGGCGGTGGTGGCATACGCCTTTAATCCCAGCACTCGGGAGGCAGAGCCAGGCGGATCTCTGTGAGTTACAGGCCAGCCTGGTCTCCAAAGCGAGTTCCAGGAAAGGTGCAAAGCTACACAGAGAAACCCTGTCTCGAAAAACCTAAAAAAAAAAAAAAAAAAAAAAAGAAGTCTTACCTGTATTAGAATAGATGGAAAGGGAAGGATACCCTCAAGGCAAGACCCCACCCAGATAAGCTTTCAACTTGTGAAAGAGAGTATAATTTTTTTTTTCCTCCTGGTGGGCAACTTCAACTATAGATGCTCTTAATGTGGTTTAAGGAGACCAGGGTCCATCCCAATGTGGAAATATTCTCTACTTGGTGCTGGCTTTAGAGTAATAAAAGATAAGGAGTTGTGGGATCATTCTCTGTGGCTTCAGAGAGCAACCCAACGAATGCACACAGCAATAACTTCTTGTTCTTTTATCCACAAAGATCTTGAAGGATTTATGCAAAAATAGATAGATGGTACAAAATCTTGTTTCTTTCTCTGGTTACTTGTTTTACAAGTACCATGAGCAAAAAATATCCAAGAAATGCTTTTAAATTCCAAAAAAGCTTAAAAAACAAAGGTTTTAGATTTAGAAAAAAGGTTTTTATTTTTCAATTGGTCTGGGCATCACAAGGTCGGGATCAGTTACTTTTAACTTCAACACACCTTTGTTTTCTCCTCTGTGAGCCCTGATTTCTTTTTGCAAGAACACCAGTCCATTTGGATCAGGGACCCACACTACAGGTGGCATTTTAACTTAATCATCTTCTTAAAACTGCACTGTTAGAGGCTGGGTTTGGGTACTTCTATGAATTGGGAGTGGGCACACAATCAGGGCCAGATGCAGCCCATTATTGGAGAGAAGGAAGAGATTTACAGAAGCCAAAGAACTTGTCAAGTTCAAGTACTCAGCCTCAGAATGCTTGAAAACTAACCAGTCCATCACTAAATACAGTCCAGGGCCCGGAAGAGCCCAGGAGGACAGAGACGGTTATGTAAAGAATTAAGAAGAGAAACAAAATGCAACCAGAGGGAAGGAATGTTGCTTCCAGACTTCCTGTGCCGCTGTCTGTCTCCTGAAATAGTGGCGTGGGGT